ACCTGCTGTAATTTTTTTCGTGGCTCTATGTTTCCATGGAAAAAAAAAACCACATGATTGGGAACAAAAATAGAAAGCAAAATTTTGATTCCTGATGTTCACGATCAGCAACATAGCGTAACTGATGGGGCGAGAAAAGAAAATCTAGTAACAAACAGATGATTAGTGTGATAAGCAATCTGTCAGCTGGATGAAAAGAGAGAAAAAAGAGATAAGATAAATAGTGTGTGTGCGGATGTGCAGGTTGCAATTGCGGTATAGGCTCTTTTCATCTCTTTTTCACCGACCTTGTCACTTGATGCTGACATCTTGCAAAGGAAAGTTTGTAACACACAACATCATCCTATAAAAATGTTCGCCCAACATGTTGTTCCATGTGATGTTAGGAGAATGGCCATCTGTATTATTATCATTTACCTTGTTATCAATGAATGCCTACACAAATAAACAATATAGCCCCCCAGTCCAGGAGGTACGACTTGAAATTTGTGCAGTCAGAAGAAAGAAAATTAAATAAAAGTCCTGGATAGATAAAACAGAAAGGAAAATAATAGTATCTGAGGAATGTTATCAAAAAGTGATGATAAAACGAAAGAGGTCTAAAGCAAATTAAATGAAGTTTGCCACTGGCAAATTGTACCGGATTTTTCTTCCCCTCCTTTTCTTTTTCTCGAAACTGTTCGCTCTTAATTGACACTTTTGTGGTCGGGAAGGGGGAGAACGATAATGGTTTTTGCGGAATGGCATTTAAATGGAATTTTAAGAAACAAAACGAAAATCACAATGAAATATTTTTGGCTGAATGACGAACAGGGAGGTTTCAAAATTTTTGTTTTGTTTATATTTTCAGTCGAAAAAAAAAGAAAAAAAACATGAATGACCATTGACCATTCAGATGATCATTCAGGAAAAGGAATAGCAATGATTTTTATTGTGAAATGTTGAAATACAATGGAACTGTTGACCAACTTGCAACGTGATTTATGTATTTCAGTGCAATCTGATCAACAAATGGGACATTTTGAATCATTACGTACAGTTCGGCATGACCTTTTCGGAATTTTTCGGAATGTCAAAAGTTCCTATTTTAAAAATTTCAGAATTTCGGAATAGTCTAATTATGAAAATTCAAAATTTTCGTAAACTCGGAATTTTTCGATTTTTTCACTTGGGAATTTCGGAACTTCTGATTATTTTGATTTTGAAATTTTTGGACTGTTGCAGTTTTTGGAATCTTTTGGAAGTTGGAATTTTAAAGTAGAAATTCTATTTTTTCAATTTGAAAACTTCAATTTGAAAAATAAGTGAATAATCGACAAAAACATTTTGAAAACGCAAAAATTAAAAGACGTTCCGCCCGCAAACAATTTTGCAATCGCGACAAGCAATCGAGACATACTGTAGTCCGAAAATCTCTAATTCCGTAAAAAGCTTCGGAAAATTTTCGGTCAGAATTTCATTCAGAAAAATTTTGCGGAATTGCTGGAATTCCGAATTCTGTTCCGAACACCCAGCTCGGCTGTCAAGTGTCAGAGAATTTTGAAAATATTGGAGGGGAACACAGATCAAAATTGAAAACTTTGCTTTTACAGAATTTTCCGGAAAATCCTAGTTTGTCGAATTCTGAAGGTCATCCCTCTTTTGTCCGTTTTGGTACTGGAAAAAGTGAAAAAAGCTAAAAATAGAAAATTTAAAAAATGTGAATGCATTTTCAAGCTTCACCTGTTTTACGTTATCCAACATTTGCAGAGGGGTCGGAAACTGGAGGGCTCTTAGAAAAGGTCAAAATCAACAGAAAAACTCAAAAATTTGAAATTTCTGAAATCGAAAATACAATCACAATCGGAATCAATCGTGGTAAATTCAAATCAAATGAATCCAAATCAGTCCAATTTTATACTATCTGGTTTTGAATCAGTTCAAGCGGAACAAAACAAAGACTTCCTTCGAAATGAATTTTTTCCTCTCCGGCCGGTACTGCTTTCTTAAAACCAAAAAAAAAAAAGAATTGTACGTATTCAGATGATGAAAAATCAGACACAATAGATATTCAGATGAATCACCAGAATAGCAAGCACGAACTGGAAGATAGTACGATTATGTACTTTGAAAGACTTTCTTCTTCCCTCTATTCAGGGTCGCTTTAAATTTACTTTCTTCTCTACTCTTCTCATATAAACATTGCAACTAGGCGGAAAAAAAAAGAAAGAAGAAGCAGGGAAAACAGAAAACAGACCGTTCAAATCCCTTATTGAAATCGTAAAAAATTTTGCAATAGAAATGGTAAAGCTGAAGGTATGAAACAAGTCCGAGGAGGGACGATGAGGAGTCGCTGGGGATGTTTGTAAGCATAATCGTATTAGTTTCAATAACAAACATTCAGAAGAAGGTGAGAAGAAGGACGGTGAAACAAGATACATTTAAGTGTCAACATTTTGAAAAAAGATCACAATTAAATTAAAATTATGTATAAAACCTTCCAATAAAGATCAAAAGTGGAATTGTCTGAAAATGAGAAAAAAGTGGAATAGTAATAAAACGCACTTTAAGGTCACAAAAGGGCAGTTAGATATAATATCCCGAGGAAGAGAAAACGGAGAAATTCATAAAAACACGAATTTCAATGGATATTTATTCTTTCAAAAGAGGAAAAACATGGACAACGAAAATTGGAAAAATGAAAAGTATGAGGATGTGAAAAGCATGAACATACAAGCATAAAAATTTTTATTTTATTTTTCAAAGTGATTAAACCGCAATTTCGAGCCTTTATTAATACCATTTATCTATATTTTTTTTTAATTTTTTGACAATTTTCATAATTTTTTTCAATTTTCATAATTTTTTGAATGATCTTCACTTTTAAATATATTTCATTTCCAATTAAGCTGAGAAAACGGTGAAAATCCCCAGAAAATCCTAAAAATAGCATTTAAAATTGGCTTGAAATTACGGTACTTTATTTTTTTTTTCATTTTCATTGATTTTCAGAGAGAATTTTTCCAATAAAGGCCTCCATAGTTTGAGATCCTACATATAATTTATTCTAAACACGTAAGACATATGTAGAATTGAGAGAAAGGAAGCAAATGCGAGAAAAAGAAAAACCAAAGCTTCAAAAACCTTTGACAATTAAAAAATGTTTAGACAGTCAAAATGTATTCAAAAAAAAGATATACACGTTTAAATGAATGCAATCTTCATGTAAAAATTTTCAAAAATGCTTCAAAACCGACAACAGATCAGAAATTGCATTCCAAATATTTCTGATATAATTCTTCCACCCCTCCCCTTTCCCACTTTTCCAACATTTCTTTCGATCCTCGCGTTTTCTGGTTTTTATACCCATTACAATTTCATTATATTATTCGTCTCTTATCATCTCCCTCCTACTTTTTATAGAACACATGGCTAACGTTTCGGAAACTAGATTATTTTGAATCCAATATAGAAGATGTGTCTTCAGCAAAAAACAGACATTTTTCATCTGAAGATTTTATGTTCATTTTAATACAGATTACAAAAAAACAAGATAATTAACAGTGTGATCTACCGATAAGGAATTGATGGAACCTATTGTTCCGTACATGTTCAGCCACCCGTTACAAAAATGAGGGGTATTTCAAGAGGTAAGATTGTTATATCTACACATTGTCGCACTGCTCTGACGGGTCTCTTGTCTGGTTATTGAAATGCTTTGGTATCAGATATCCATAGTTTTCGGTTGCTTTTTCCAGCATCTGTGCCAGAATTGAGCAGGTTTGTTGGAAAGCTGGACGATCATCCGGGAGTTCTTGCCAACAGGACCTCATCACGTCGTAGCTAAATCAATAACTTGATAAAATATTGCTTTTGTATTCTTATAGACTTGCATTTCATCTGGACAATATTCCGGTTTCAAAAGTCGTTTTCCAGATCTATGAGTCGTGAGCAGCTCAGTTGTCTGCACTTCAGCATATGGAACTTCACCAAGAGAGAAGAGCTCCCAGAGCAAAACTCCATAGGACCATCTGAAAAATATTCCAGCTCACTTAAAATGTATACTGATGCGACATTCTAATAAGTACCGATAAGATGTCTTGAAAAATGTGTTTTTCAGAGAAATGTGACTATTTTGAAGAGTTTGGAGCTCGGCTGTCAAGTGTCTGTTCCCTTTGAAAAATTTGGAAAGTGTGAAATAAAATCAAATTGAAAACTTTACATTTACAGAATTTTTTTGAAAAATCCAAATTTTTTCAGTTATTTGCCGATTTCTGAAAGACATGTATTTTGCTCCATTTCGTACAGAAAACGTGGTAAAAATAGTTTCTTTGAGAAATTGGCATATAGCTGGAAAACAAGGCAATCTCGCGAAATTCTGGAAATGCAAAATTTTCAATCTAGGTCTGTTTTAAACCCTCAAAAACTTTCAAAATGATGGGAAACTTGGCAGCCGAACTCCAGAACAAAGGGTACAAGGGAATGCAAAAAAATTCAGAGGTACGAAATTATTTTTTTACTTTGTACCAAAATGACCCCGAAGTTTTTGTACCCTCTGAACTATTTGTCAAGTTCCAGATTTCGGAAAATTTGCGAAAATGACCAAAAATCAACTAAAAACATTTTGGCATAAGTTTATGACCTTTACTGCATAAATATTTTTTACTTACACATCACTCTTAAATGAGTACTCGTAGGAAGATAATGATTCAGGAGCCATCCATTTCAATGGTAGCCGTCCACCTCTTGCGGTATACAAAAGTGAATCTGTCAACCTGCACAATCCGAAATCCCCTATTTTACAGGTGTTCGATGAGTCAACCAACACGTTACGTGCGGCGATGTCACGATGAATACATCCGATGTTGTTTAGGTATTCCTAAATCGACATAAACTACACTAGTAGACTGTCATAAACTGTTTGCACTCACAAGTCCATTGCTAATCTGCCAGGAAAACATCAACAGGTCTTTGATTTTCAGCCCGTCTAGGGATACTGCGGGTCCCTGTAATTCTTTATAGTGTTTTTTAATCAAAACTGTTCCTACATCAATAATTTCTTGCTTGCGATTTCGAATCATATGCAACAAATCTCCGTGTTCACAAAACTCAACCAACAGATACGGTGATTTCCGATCAGCTACAAATCCCAGCATAGAAACCAGATGTGGATGATAGGCGAGTGACTTCATGAAGTTGATTTCCTAGAAACGAAAAAAACTATAGTAAGAAAAAAGTGGATCATGTGTTCCAACCTGCATGAAATCCGATCGGGCGGCATCATCAGCAAAGCTTGGCAGCATTTTGACAGCAACGGGACAGTCGCGAAGTTGTTGTGTTCGCTGACCGGGGTGGATTGTGGAAACCGGGGCTTCGCCGTTGATTTTTCCTTTGAAAACGTTACAAAAAGCACCGCTTCCAAGTTTTTTGGAGTAGTTGATTTCCAGGTTGTTTCTATCAAGCAGCCAAGGGTCATGTCTGAAATTTTCCGGAGTACAACTTGTGAAACAGATCAGAAAGATCATGAAATGCTGTTGATTTCACCAGAACGTGATTTTAAAGATTACAGTTCTTGAACGTATTTGTTGTTAACCATGTAACTGATGCTTACATTTTGGTTTCATGTTTTCAATCTAGATTTCTGAATGGTCACTACAGCTTCAATGGACCGTGACTGTACTTATGCATGAGTCACGTTTTTTGATTCATTTCACCAAATCTGTACAATGTATTTACCAAAAAGTTTTGAAAACAAGAAAACTGCCTCACCAAATTAGAAACTATCGACTCAAATAAAAATTTCACACTGTGTTTGCGCCCTGTACTGTACCGGTATAGATACACAACAACACATTTTTCAGTTGATTTTCTGTCATCTTTACCATTTTTTAGGGTCTGCAGCTACAATGTCAATATTCCGATCACTTTGAAATTTTGAAACATGTAAAACAGACCTAGATTGAAAACTTTGCACTCACAGAATATTTTTAAAAGCCCTAGTTTTTCAGTGCTTTCTTTTCGCCAATTTCTAAGACATATCTATTTTTGGCCCGTATTTCTATCAAAAGTGTAAAAAAGAGGCAGTATTTGGACATCAGCAAATAGCTAAAATACTTGGAGTTTTCAAAAAATCTCTAAACGGAAAGCTTTCAACTTAAGTTTGTCTTACAGTTTCCAGAAATTTCAAGGTAATCGGAAATTTGGCAGCCCAAGCTCCATCTGACAAAGGTCAAAATGGCGACAAAACAACTGGAAATTAAGTTTTTGTGTATTTGATTGACACGTATTGTACATCCAATTCAAGCTTAATTATTTCGTTTTCTTTGAAAGATATCAGTAATCTGTCAACTGAAAAAAATTGTATTGTTATGATAAATAATTTACCAGTTGACAAATTTTTGATATCATTCAAAGGAACTGAGACAACTGATCTCATAATTCTTGTGTAGGATGAGCTTCTATTGAAACAAATACAGTAGTTCGGGATGAACTTAAGAAATGTATTCCCCAGAAAAAAAATACTCACATGGAATACGCCGGACTATCCAACTGTGTTTCATAGTCGTTTCCCTTTTTGGCAAACGGTACCGGGAACGGATTCCTATTCTGCCTCCTCCTTTTCCTGCACCAGAAAAATATGAATACCGCCAGAGCACATGCAATAACTCCCAATGGGATACCGAGACCCAATCCCAGGGCAACTGCATTCACACCACCTCGTTCATTGTTTTTGTGATCTCCACCATAGTATGGATCATAGTATTGAGGAGTCGTTGGCTGAAAAATTGTTTTTAGGTCTTCCCAAAAATTTAGATTCCATGTTTTTGTCCCATTTTTGGTCACGACTTCTCGTCTTATATATTTTTAGTCTTGATTGTTGTATATATTGCTTGGTGTGTCCATTTTGAGAAAAAATAGCAAACAAACATTGACTTCACAAATATGACATTTGTAGGAAATCACGGTTTTTTTTCTGTCCGACTCACTTTCCACCAAGGGTCATCATCCTCATTTTCTGGTTGATTTTTACGAAATTTCATAATTGTTGATTAAAGTTGAGTAAGAAAAGAAGAGAGGAAAGAAATAGGATCAGAAGAAGAGGTGGACAGATTTTTTCGACAGACAAAAAACGCTCACACACACGATGATGATTCAGTGCCCCCCATCGGATGATTATTTGTTCAATTCTCGTAAGTTCTAATGCCGAATGTCAACCCAAAAAACTCGCCCGTGGTTTTTTCTCGGTCTGTCAAGAAATTTCTTGAAAGAAAAAGGAAGCGCCAAGGTTTTGAAGTTTCAAAATGTTTCGGGTGGAAATGGGTAGGCAGGTGGCAGAGGGTAAACAGGGTGATGATGAATTGGGAAAATAAATGAAAACTCACCGGAGGGAAATGAGGTGGCTTGGGTGGTTTGGGATCATGTGGAAAGTGTGGAGATTCAGAATGGACGAAGAGCTAGAAAAGGCATAAGATGCGAAGGGACGTAGAAAAGGAAAATGCAGATAAGAACAAAAAAAAGCGAAAATATAAAATTTGAAAATTCATGCACATGCCTCGTCAACCATATACAGTACCGGTCAATAAGAAAAAAAAAGACTTTTTTCAGTTGATTTTGACCATTTTCAGAAGTCTGGAACTCGACTGTCAAGTTTCCGATTACTTTGTAAATCGTGAAGGATGTAAAACGATACAAAATTGAAAATTTTGCATTTATATAATATTAGGGGTTTGCAAAAGTAATGCGCGTCAAGTTTGGTGTTTTGTATCTAACCCAAAACAAACGGTTTGTGTTTAATTTTTTTTTGTTTTAAAAAGCGCGTTTTTGGGCTTCATTTTGTTATATTATATTGCTGTTTTAATTTGATTTCTATTAAAAAAAACATTCTAGAAGATATCCGACCGAAAATTTCGCCTTTGAGCATTTTTGTGGGACCAATTTAAGGAAGGAAAATCGGCTGCCGAAGCTCACCACTCACTTTCTCCTGTATTCGGTGAAGAAGCTATATCCGAAAGTCAGTGTCGCCGCTGGTTTCAGCGCTTCAGGAGCGGAGATGAAAGATTGGAAGATGAATCGCGCCCTGGTCGTCCAGAGCAGGTGGACAACGATGCCTTGAGAGCAGCAATTGAAGTCCTTGCCAAACTACTCTCAGTCTCTCGGAGCAGTCCGACTGCAATTTTTCCACAATTTCCAGACATTTGCATGCAATCGAAAAGACAAACAGATGTGGAAAATGTGTCCCTCATGAGCTTTCCTATTCGAACAAGGAAAGACGTGTTGAAGTTGCCAATATTCTGATGCGCCACTCCAAAAATCGTGGTTTCTTCGATTCGATTTTGACATCGGATGAGAAATGGATTCAGTGGGACAATAATGGGAGAAAAAAAAAACAGTGGCTGAGTCCTGGCGAGACCCCGAAACCGACTCCAAAACCGGAAATCCACAGAAAGAAGGCGATGATATGTGTCTGGTGGAACACACGAGGTCTCGTGCATTTTGAACTTCTGAGACCTGGTCAAACGGTGAATGCGGACCTTTACAAAGATCAGCTGGACCGTGTGGACCAAGCTCTCAAACGCCAAGGCGTGAACACTTCGACAACACTCTTGCTCCATGACAACGCTCGACCACACACTGCAAAAATCATTGAGCAGAAAACTCAGGAGCTGGGCTGGGAAGTGCTGCCTCATCCGCCATATAGTCCCGATTTGGCACCATCGGACTATCACCTATTCCGATCCATGCAACATCATCTGGCCGCGAAAAAGTTCGAAAGCGGTGAAGAAGTGCAAATTTGGGTGGCGGACTATTTCGAGTCACAGCCAGAGGAGTTCTTCAAGAAAGGCATCGCTGAATTACGCACACGTTGGCAGCAAGTAGTGAACAATAATGGAGAATATCTTATTGATTGATGATCTCTTGTTTTGGTTTTACAATAAAAGGAAGTTGCATCAAAAACGCGCATTACTTTTGCAAACCCCTGATATTTTGAAAATCTCTAGATTTTCAACTATTTGCCTATTTTTGTAAGACATCGTTTTGACCCGTTTTTGTACTGTAACAGGTGTCTTCTCGAAATTGGCAAATAGCTGAAAAACTAGGACTTTCCGAAAAATTCTGTTAATGGAAAATTTTTAATTGAGGTTTGTACATCTCTCAAAGTTTTCAAGACATCCTGAAACTTGACAGTCGCGCTCCTTCGTGAGAAAAATGCTAAAATGGCCGAAAATAAACTGAAAAATATACTTTTGTGTATCTTATTGACTGGTAATGTGAAAAATTAAAAATGTGAAATTTTGAAGCTGAAAAAAAGTGCACATGCCTTGTTCAAAGTGTGATTTTTTAAATTCTTTAATTCTACCCAAAAAGTTAACCCCATAGATGAATTTGAAAAAAAAAAGAAACCATCATACATGAGAATCAGGCGGAAGCGTTGGATATGGCGGTGGCGTCCACGAATTCTGCTGATATGGTTGATTACCCCATCCAACTTGATATTGTGCTCTTGGCTGTTGTGTTATCGGCGGATCCATCCCGTTCAGTGTGTCCAGAGTGCTCCTTACATTATTCAACGCTTGTTGGGATAAATTTGTGATCTGAAAGCACCATTTACCAGAAATCTCTCCCCAAAAAAACTGTTTCAATGATCTCGTGCGGCGGCAAAAGAAAAAAGAGAGACGCAAAAAAAAATAGAAAAACTGAAAAAGAACATTATGGCGTCGCGTGGTTATTGTACAAAAGGACACGAAAAAAAATCATTTTGGTTTCCACTCACCGTTTCCAAGTACCTGATGTCTGAAGGGCTTAAACTGCCATAGTTTTCATTATTATTGTTATTATTGTTATTTCTAGTAGTACGCAAATCGTTGGTTTGTGTTCCTGCGTCCATTGTGGATGGTTTTGGAGTAGGGGTCCACGGGGAGAATTTCTAAAATAAGTTTGGACTGTCTTACGTCAGTACAATAACAGATAAAATGAATGAATTGTTTTTGATAAACCGTGATGTCTTAACATGTGCAAATACACCGTCAGAAATACCGTAATCAAACCAAAACACAAGAAAGGAAAATCAGGGACTTACCGATTTATGCGACGACCAATTTTCGTGCGAGTCGTCAGCTGCTGGCGAAGGAAAAGCCAGTGTGGATACAAGAGCGGCTGAGGAGGCGAGATATTTCAAACATTGATGTGTCATCCGTGTGCTCCTCCTTTAGACGCTATTTCTGAATATGGTCATGATGATAAAGAATTTTTGAGCGAGCTGGTCATATTGAATAAGAAGAGAGAATGAAATTTGAACAGAGATTATGCAAAATGAAAAAGAAAAAATGCTGTGACGTGAACGAATAGAGCGTCAAAATAACAGTATTCATGTTGTAAAAACTCGTAAATTAAATTTCATAAATGGTCAATGAAAAATTATATTCAAAATTTCTTGAAAATTGGAAACAGCTGAATTGTGGGATATACCAAAATCACAAAAAAGATGACAAACGAGTGTAGAGGAAAACTCTGAAATACAATTTTTTCACCGGCGTAAGTTTTGAAAACAATTCGACACGGCTGGATAATCTGGTCGTCACCTGTCATGTCCAAAATGGGCGTACACATCAACCTCAAACAGTTATGAGAGCAAAAATCTAGTATCTCGGCAGGTTATGCAAATGTTGTACAGTAAGTTTTTTTTAGTTCAAAAGAACACTGTTTGATTATTGTGTGCACAGACAGACAATGCATATTTGGTTCGATAAGATAAGGTGCATTCTTTTTGCTTTATCTGCCATGCATCATAATAATAATAACAAAAACAATACACCACTGGATCTCTTGAAATTTCCAAAAAAAAAACAAATCTGTCATATCCATTTACGAGAAAGAAATCAGAAAAAAAGAGAGAAAAACGGGAAGAGAACTCGTGGGAGCCTCGATGGGATGTAGGCAGTGGGAGTTAAGACTGTTTGCTCAAAATTGCCGTTTTCTTTTTCCCCCCTTAGGTTTTTTCTCTCTTCTTTACCTTTCAAATTTAATGACAGCGCGGTGTTTATGAAAAAAAGAGGAACAGGTGAATAAGAGAGAGCAATTTGTTCTATAGTTGAACTTTAGAGATTGCACGGGTTGTAGACTGTTTGGGAAAATAGGAATGATGATAATTGTGATTGGGTTGACGCCTAAAGCGAGTTTTGAAAAAAACGTAATAGTCGTAAAAATAGTAATACTCAGATTTTTATATGGTCGAAACACGAAAGATCAGCGGCAAAGTTCGTTTTCTTATAGACAAGAATTATTGAAAATCATATTTCTGTCAAAAATATGAGAAGCTACGATCATACTATTGGGAGGTGGTTCAAATCATACTTGCAAAATTACGAATTACGGGCCGGTCCGATGAGAATTTTAGCCGATGAAGTGATGGCCCGGCCCGGCCCGGTCGGTACGCTGTTTGTAAAGAAGCTGATATTTTAGATTTTTTTTCGAAAATTTTAACTATTTTTAAAATATAGTCAAAAACGAAATATTTTTAAAATATAGTCAAAAAAAAGATATTCAAAATTGGTTGCTCTACCTGATGAAACGAAATACTTCAATATCTATAATGGAAGCCAGTTATATACGTGTTCTTTGAGTTCAATCATCTCGGTTCTTGTGAATGGTAATGAAAATTTTGACAAGTGGCAAAAAGGTTTGTCGTAAAATTAGCAACAATTTCTTACTTAACAAAATTTTGATATTGTTTACAAGAACCGGGATAATTGAGCTCAAAGAACATGTTTATTACAGTAATATTTGAAGAAATGTAAAAAAAAGCTACTTTTGAAAGGGGCTTGGATTTTGATATTTTAAATAAATTCTTCCTTTCAGAAAATATGTTTTTATGCTTGAAACTAAATCAGTCCTAAAAACAAATTGCAATATATAAATGATCATTAAACCAAATTCATTGAACGAATTGAATTAATCAATCATTTTTCCACTTGTAACTTTACATTTTGCAATATTTGAACAGCTTGACTAAAACAATTGTGTCTATGTACCTGCAAAGTTGACTTTTGGTGCCCGCCTATACTTCATACTTGAAGGTGGAGGAAAGTTCATGAAAAAAAATTTTCCCAAAAAAAAAATTTTCCCAAAATTTTGTTTCTATGAAAATCTCGAAAAGTTGAACTTGAAGGCCCAAAGGTTGAAGCGCTGGGTAGCCAACAACTGAGCCACAAGCTGGGCGGACAACCGCTGTCATATTTGAAACCCCGCGTCCTGTGAAATACATACCGTACCATCCAAAAAAAAACCCCGGAGATTTTCCCCTCTTTCAAACATAATTTTAGTTCAACAAGTTTTTATTAACATGACTTTTCATAGTTCTTACAATTGTTGGTTTACATCAAAGTCAGGAAAATTATGCAACAGTCACATATTGGTCATTTCTGACAATTGTGAGAAAAGGTTTTCGATCGGAAGTTAATATAGTGGTCGGTGGAAAATCAAAATAAATGTTTGTAGGTAGATTAAAATGTGGTCGGTTTTTTTGTCCAATTGATATAATAAATTAGTCGGTCGGGGAAGTAAAAAAAGGTCAGTTCAGTTCAGTTTCAGTGTGTTTAAAATTTAATGGGGTGAGTTTCGGATAAACATTAAAGAAGGTTGGAAGAAAAACAATGAAAAAGAAAAGGTAAACAATAAGGATTGGTTGTTTGAAAGGATGAAAAAAAAATCAGAGACATATAAAAAGAAATGAAAAGATTTAACAAAGCCACACCGTGTCCAGCTTTTCAGACAACTTGGCTGTACGGTGGCGGTGGACGGAGGTTTTTGCGTTCTTGGAGAAGTGGTGACCACTCGACGGGTGGGACCGGCGCTCCTCTGTAAATAAAGTATTTGTATCAAAATGTTTTTTTTTTCAGTTTGCTTTGTGAGAATTTCGAGAGTTGAAATCTTATCAGCCAGAAAGTACAGAATGCAACCATGTTTAGAAATGCGCGGAACTTTTTATAACCTCTTGATCAGGTGATTTGTTTTGAAATTGTTCACTTTAATTTCATGCCCCTTAAGCTTACCTTTGCTCGAACTGGGCTAGACGACGTGACTTGCGAGCCGAAGCGACGTGGCACCAGATAACAGCCGCAAACAACACCAGGATCAAGAATGCCGAAGTATACGCGTAGCCTGAAAAATTCAACCTACTCTTCAGAAAATACAAAAATTTATACTGACTATCTGGGATTAATTCTTCTTTCGGCTTTTTTGGCTTAATTGGATGAGTACATCCGAGATGAAGTTTAAGCGACGTGATCGAACACATATTCGATGTCAGTAATAGCAGTGGAGCTATAGAATGAGCCGAAAACCGATAGCACAAGGGGCGTGGCAAGATTACAGAAACAATTATAGGAAATTAGTTTCCTTTGTAGACAGATAGAGCTGATTTAGAAGGGGAAAACACTATTTGTATAGGCAATAAAAATAAATGTCATATTTCCGTCGAGAAAATTGTGATTGGATGTGGGCTAAAAGCCCAATTGAATATCACTTTATTTGGATTTTCAGGGAAATGCTAAAGCAAAAAGATTAGAAGGGATTGGGCATACTGTAGCTACCGAAAAAATACTGTTATTCTGACTTTTCATACACGTTTTAGAAAAATCTGAAACACAATCTCAAAAGTCGGTTATAGGCACTCTAAAGCCGACAGCGCTCTTAAAATTGAAAGGCAAAAAAAAGATCAAAAAATATAGTTTTATGTTTTGGAAGAAAATAACCAAAATTTTAATAATTTCATCAAATTTACGTCAGAACAAAACAAAAATCTGTTTCCGCTGAAACATTCAGAACAACCGAAGAATATCTGCCTATGTACTTTTGCAAATACCGATACCGATTTCCTTGGTGAAATAGCACAAAACTATTCTGACAAGCTTCTGACATGTATTGGAATTTATCTTCCAACTTTACTAGTTGAGTAAACGAGTCCATCAGAAAAAATATTCATTCTAAATTTTATGCACAATCTCTAAAAAGCAAGCCTATCTTTATTTTGGAATCATTCAAAAATGAGGAACAAGAAACATGTTGAACTTACGGTACTTCCTCTAATAGAAGCTTACCCAACCGTCAACTTTGAGCTCAATTATCTCGATTCCTGCGAAAGATATCAAAAATGTGTTAATGTTGGTGATATTATGATGAATGATTTATCAGTTGACACATTTTTAATACCTTACACCCAAATCGAAATCATTGAGTTCAAAGTAGTCGGTTTGGGTAATCTTCTTTCAGAGGAAATACGGTACTCTTTTTCGTTTACGGGTCCAACGTTCTCTCAAAAAAATCATAATCAAGTGCATGACAAAATTTATAAAAAATATTATCGCTTTTGAAATGCTAAATTAAGTGGAAGATTTTCAATATACCGAAAAACTCTATTAGATAGCCACCCCTAATAGAATGCCACCCTCCAATATAGTGCCATCCTGGAGCACCTCCAAACAATAGAGTGCCAGCCCCTAATATAATGCCACTGCGGATTTGATGTCACTGTGGTAAATATTGACGAATAACACAAAAAATCATTTTATGGTTTCCTAGCTTTTAGGTATTGTATTTGTCAAAAATGTTTTCAGGATAATATCAGACTCCGAAAGTCTCTAAAAAAGTAGAAAAATCAAGAAAACCTCAAAAATTATATTATGAAAAAGTTGAAAATCGAGTCCTTTTGTGATGAATTTCAGTAGAAATTGGCTTCGAACAATAAAGTACCAGCCTCTAATTGGATGCCACCCCCTAATACAATGCCACCCTAGACCACGCCATGGCTATCTAATAGAGTTTTTACGGTATATTTTTTTCAACACTAAATTTTCCAAAAAGCATAAAATAATGGATGATCTTAATAAAATTAAAACTGCAAAAGATAGGATAGGTAATTATACCATCAATCAGGTGCACAGGGGAGTGAAGAGGCCGAACAGCCTGGAACGGGGTATCTTCACTCACCACCGCGGCGGGAGCCGTACTCAAGACCGCCTCTTTGGTAGATGGACCAATCAATTAACCCTGCACATCTGCCCGGTAGGGAGTGGAAAATATAAACGTTCGGTCGTTGAGGAGGCGATGGGTGTTTTAAAGGGCAAAAATTGTCTCTTGGGAAACTACGTCAGTATTAGAGGAACTACCGTGCATCTAACGACCTGACCGTCATGTTTACAGGGCAAGAATTTTCCCCTGAGAAACAAGTCTGTATTGGAGGCCCTAGTAGCGAATGTGCCAAACTTCTGGAATAATGAACATTTTAAACTAGAATCCTTAACTTTCTCAGGACGGCATTGAATTTCTACAGGGACAGAGAAAGCAAAATAATCTAAAATCATCAATTTAATTTGAATGATTTCAGTATTCATGAAGCAGATCCATCTTTAAATCTACCGTGAAACCTGTATTAGTAGGCCAGGGGTCTATTGTTTCAGGATATTTCCTGAGGGCCCTTCTATTGCAGGGGCTTTTTAATCAGTCAATTTTACAATTATAAAGCAAGCAAGTGTTCCAACAAATTGTTGTGAAAATTGGGTTTTTCCAAATATTTTTACTGAAAAAGTACGAAAATTTTGAATTTGAAAAAAAAAACATTTTGAAGAGGGTCTTCATAATGTTACAAGCCCTTTTTGGAAGAGTCCTTTTATTAGAAAGACCCTTCCATCACCCATTTAACTTACTTCGATGATTCATGACGCTTACAAACTCCTGATTCTTGACCTTGGATTGGTTGGCCTTGGCGATTTCCTCATCAGTTTCCGAATACATTGGAAGAAGCTCTCCAGACGTTGAAACAGCTAGCAGAGCCAGTAGAAATAGGAAGCTTCTCATTGTCAGTATCGGTTAAAACATTTGATGCTGAAGAACACAAAAATCCGTTGGTTGCCTCGACTTGTGAGGAGGAGAAGAATGAAAATGAGCAAGAAGGAAGATGCGAAAAAAAAGGAGATTTGGGAGGATATTGTGCAAGAAGCACGCCCACAAATAATAATGGCCTTTTCCCGTAGATATCGAAAGAAATAAACCTTAATAAGAAAATTGTGTATGTACGCATGTAATCGAAAGAAAATTTTCGGGAGCCGAGGAAATGAGAAAAGAGGCAAATGTCGAAACATATTCAGAATAAATGAGATGTTTGAAAAGGAGGATAAAGACAATGAATATGAAAAACGAGATGAAGAAAACAAAATTCATGTAATTTGCTATATAGTCAGAAGGGTGAATAGAAAGAAAAAAGAAAGATTGATAACCCGTGTGCTCTTATCAGGGGTAACGAAGAGTGTGTGCTCTTACGAAGAAACGGAGAGTGTTGTTTTCAACTGTTCTGAAAATGGAGAGAGATCAAAGAGCAAATGGAAGGTGGCTATAATTGACGTTTTGTAGAAAGGACACTTTTGAAAAATGTGGGTTGTTTTAGCGCACTTTATTTCAATATGAAAACATCAATATAATTTTTGAGCATAACACGTTGTATCAGGTGAATGAAAATGAAGATCATCATGTTAGTTCTGATGACTGAACACGGTTCAACCGGGTGAGCATTCGAAGTTTTCGTGTGCCTTATTCATGACTTTTTTCAGCGATTTTCATGACACTTTACTGATTTTTGTGAGAAGGAAACATAATTTTTTAAAACTGATGATCGCAGAGGGATTCTAAACAAAAAATGAACTCCTCGAGGAATGTTTTCAAGAAAGTATGATTTGTAAACCCTTCAATAGAAGGACTCACTAACTTTTTTTTGATCTAAATTTCCTCAATTCTTGTCGAAGATATGAAGATGTTGTCAACTGATAAAACATTTATCATAATTTTAGGAAAATTTATTTGTCAACAAAGTTTTAATATCTTGCAAAGTATTTGAGATAAACAAGCTCAAACTTGACCGTGTGAGGGATCATCTATTATATAGGTTTTACGGTATTTGAGTGATAAAAAAAAGAGGTTTGTTTTCAACAAATTTATTTCTGTCGAACTATAAATCTGAAGCAAATGTTCTTCAAAACGTGAATTTTGGTAATTCAGACTTGAATAAATTAAAATGGGTTCTGGTTTTTGAGTGATGTACTTTTTGCAGATACCGTAAATTCTTTAACCGGTGGAAGCCTACCCTATACGTGTACTTTGAGCTCATTGAAATTCGTGTTTGCAAAAAAATATAAAAATTCTGTCAACTGGTAAAATGTTGGTAATTCTACAAAAAACATTTTATCTGTTGGCAGATTTTTGATATCTCTTGAAGCAACCGAGATAATTGAGCTCAAAGTGGACGTACAGGGTGAGCTTCTATCAGAGCATTCACTGTATTTAATTTTTTTGTTGATAAACACCGTTAAACTTTTTTCGTTATCTTTATTTTTATTAATTGTGTAACTCCGATTTCCGGGTAATATTAAAATTGACGTTTGTGATTTTCCTTGAACTGAAACCTTCTCCGCCTGGGCCTATAATTGTTCAAATCGTAACAAAAAAAAACTTCCTTCTTCTTAAAAAAGTTAAACTGGTACCTGGTTCGAATTCTTCCAAATCGCCTATATTTATAGAAAATCATTTGAACTATTGAACCCATTCCATTATACCGCAAATAGTTTAATTTTTACAAGAAAAAATACCCGAAAATACTAGGCCTTTAATTGTCGATTCTCCATATTTTTTATCCATCTTAAAAAAAGGAACGACCGGTTTTTAAAATGCCATAGCATTCCAATGTATTTTATTTTTTTGGGATATTATAGTATTTCAATGAAAAAATCGAACTAGTTTCTGGAAGGATGCAATAACATGGTGATGGTGACACAAAATTTTGGCATTCAATGGTGGGTTTATTCGTACGAAGGAATTTTCGAACTGGCCGGTTGAAAATTTTCCCGTTTAAACTTCCTTAATCAGTATTGAATAGTATTTTTGTGCCAGATTCGTCGTTATGCATTATTTGTTTATCTATCCATCTCTTCCCACCACTAACCCCCATATTTATCACGCCCTGACATCTACTCCAGCTCTAACAATCTCTTACAAGGTGCCCTTTTTTGGTTTCTCGTACGAAATAGTATAACCTTGATCCGTGCCGACCGCCTTAACGCCAACACCACCCACCGCTTAACGCGCCGCGCGGAAAGAACCCTCCTTTCATACAAGAAGAGGCCATTTTTCGTGCAGCAGAGACCCCCTAAATATGCACAAACATGGAGGCGGTGGTCAATTTGGGGAGAAAAGCCAATGTTTGCACCGTTCTTTCCATCATCCAGTTGAACAATTGGTTTCTGGTTCGTCTAGTTGCTCGCCTTTGCCCTCGCAAAGTCGAAACAACCTCAAAATCGCTCCAAAAAGAAGGCAAAAAAGAGAACGAAATCCTCTTTTCCTCCTTCTCCTTATTCTTTTGTACAAAAAACAACCCAGGGGGAAACAGAAACAGAAACAAAATGACTTGACAACCCTCATGCCGAGGACGCGTCAGTCATCACTAGATTGACCTGGGGACTGTGAAGAGTGGGCCTAACCTTGAGTCGCGCTTCGGTGGCCCTTCTCCTCCGTGTGCCCTCTTTTTTGTCTTCCACACACCCTCCCTCTCCTCGCATACCATATAATATAACCGCCATTGTTGTCTTCTCTCTTAGCAGCCGCATCCAATTCCTCTCTCCCAACCGTCCAATCGACCCCAGTAGGGTTTCGTCATTGTTGTGTGGGCCAGAATTGTCTTTCTCTTTTTCGTTCGCTTCTCTAATAATGAACACAATCGGCCCCACTTCAGTTTTCAATAGTTACTGTAAACTAGGAAAGTTTCGACCAGCGCAGAGTGTAAATGTTCAATTTCGCGTCATGCTTGTTAAGTTGCAGCGGCAATTTGGACATTTTTCCATTGTTACTTACTCCATTGTGAATGCCTGAGTCTCCCTGTTCGATATTTCAAAGGTTTCGTAATTTCCTAGTGACCTTTTACCGGATAAGCACTTGTCAATTTTAATTCAAAGCTTTAGGCTGCTGTAATTTTAGGTATACATACAGTGCCGGCCATGAATATATGAAAAAACGTGTTACCCAGTTGATTTTAACTATTTTCAGAAGTCTCGAACTCGGCTGTTGAGTGTCGGATCACTTTGAAAGTTTTGGAGGGTATAAAAAAATCTAGATTGAAAATTTTGCATTTATAGAATTTTTTGAAAATTCCTAGTTTTTCAGTTATTTGCCAATTTCTAGAAGACACCTTTTTTTCCTATTTTTGTATAGAAAGTGAATAATCAGGTGTCTTTCAGGATTTGCCAAGTAGCTGAAAATTTAGGAATTAAAAAAAAATTTTGTGAATGCACAGTTTTTAATCTAAATCTGTTTTAAAACCTTCAAAATTTTCAATGTGATCCTACACTTATCAGACAAGCTCCAGACTCTTGAGAACGGTCAAAATCAACTGCAAAAACACGTTTTTTCATGTATTTGTGGCCGGCACTGTACGCTTTTAAGAAGTTTTTTTTTTCAAAACATTCTCACTTCCCAAACAATAACTTATAAAACGACTGTATTCGTCCAAATATTTCGCAACACATCCTTCCTTGTCTCTCCTCCACTTATCTCTGACTCACAGCTGACCGGATGATCAGCTGAAGCATTTTTTCTCGTTGTTTTTACATTCCTAAGCGTAGAAAGAGAAAAACCTAGTGCAAATATTTTGCTTTTTTTGCGCTTAGAAAAAAAAACTGTACGAAAAGGAAGAGCTGCCTTTTTGTGACCATCCTCCCCAACAGTTCCCTATCTCAGTTTTTGACCAAACTCTCCACTTGAAAATGCACATATGCCTGTTTATCAATAACACATTTCTATTTTCCTCACGAGCACTTTCTCCCACCATCACCTGGTTTTGACCAAAGTATATAAATCAAGCCTTAAGCATCAGCTATTGTTCTGTTTCCATCGTTTTTGTTGGTGGCTAGGCAATTATGAAATTGTGGATGACTGGCTGACCACATGTGTCCCCGAGCGCAATTCATTATTCCTGCTGACCTCATTTTATATGCTCCATCTTTCGGGTCAACACCTAGTCAACAACCAGATGGGTTCCGTTTGCAGATTTCCCAGCTAGCACCTTCCGGTATACAGTATCGGTCAATAAGATGTACAAAAAAGTGTTTTCCTTTTGATGTTGACCATTTTCAGGAAACTGAACCTTGGCTGTCAAGTGTCGGAATACTTTAAAAACTTTGCAAAATATAAAACAGACCTAGATTGAGAACTTTGCATTCACAGAAACTTTTGAAAACTCCTGGTTTTTCAGCTATCGTAAAACCTGTATTAGAAGGGCCGGGCCTTCTTTTTTTTCGGACATGTTTCTCCGATATTTGTCAACAAAAAATCAACGAATTCTTGTTAAAAGTGTATCAAAATCTCATTTTCGCAAAAATGGGCGAAATTTTGACATTCTAAGTAGTGTTGGACAAAAAAAAATATGAAATTGTAGAATTTCAGAAAGGTTTTTCACTGAAAACGTACAGAAATTTCCAATTTCTGACAACACATTTTGAAGGGGGCCCTTCTATTACAGGGGGGGGGGGGCTCCTATTTTTCCAAGTCCCTCTCGTAGTTTCCTTCTATTAGAGGGACCCTTCTATTGAAAGGGCCTTTCTGATACAGGTTTTACTGAATTTTTGGTTTTCTGAAAGAACCTCTTTTCGGCCCATTTTGTAATGAAGACATGAAAAAAAGCTAGTGTCCTTCAGAACTCGGCGAATAGCTGGAAAACTAGAAGTTTTCAAAACATTCTGTGGATTTTAAGTTTCCAATCTAGGTCTATTTTACACCTTCCGAAAATTTTAAAGGGATCAAACACTCGACAGCCGAGCTCCAGACTTAAAAATTTGTTTCATTAACTGAACATGTTTTTCGTCTGATTGACCGGTACTGTATGAATTTCATCCAAAAGTCTCATAGAACCATTATTGTCATTGCAAACGAGTCATCTTCCCCTCATCCAACTTCTTTCAAGTGTGTATGTACGCTTGTGTTCCACCTCTACAAACGACCAAAAACTTTTCGAATCGAGTCGAAGTAGGTCATATGTAAAATGGAGAGAAAAGAGAAAATATGAATGCGTATTCCTTACAGTTTTTTTGTATTTGGAAGAGAGAAAAATCTTCTGGGAAACTCTCATAAACTAGAGAAAAAATAAACTGCAAACGATTTTCGTTTTGTTGACATTGCAGTTCTTTTCCCATCCAGTATTGCATTGATTCAGTAGTCGGCTGGCCACGTTTTCGGTTTTCCGTTCACAATTCATACTTTTGTATATTTCGAAACAAGAGTAGGAAGAACAACATTTCCTAAAAAGTCACATGTTTCCCCGTTCCCTCTCCGTCATATCATTTGAAATTTGCACAAATATATATTTCTTTTTTTTCGTACTCTTTCGTACCCCCAAAACATACGTCCTCTTGAATATAAATATCGTTTCGAAGTTGTTTATGATTGACTCTTTTCTTTTCTTTCTTTTCCAAATAAACAAAATCCTCTTTTCCATCTCCACTCTTCCAAATCCTGTCCATTTTCTTGTCCTGTTCAAAAATAGGAGGCAGAAACCTCCGGGAGATGATGAGTCAGTGGCGACAAGAAAGTATTAGTCACACGGAAACACTATTATTGTATGTGCCGCCCCTCATATATGTATGAACATACACCTCATTTTTTTCTAGATAATTTCTTCTGTTTCTTTATACGACAACTGTCAGTTTGCCCCCTTTCCGAAAACCTCCCATTTTCGACTTTCGCCATTAAAACCTTCCTCTTTCCATTTTATACTATAATTGCTCTTCGAAAACCAAGTTTTTCAGTACTTCCAACACCTTCAAGATGGCCGCCGTCACCGAACTTCCAAAGATGAACCAAGAGCTCGCCGGAGCCGTTCGTGAAGGATTGGAGCTCAAAAAGGTGGAGACCAACGAGAAAAACATCTTGCCAACCAAGGAGGGTAAGTGGATTAGCTGATGATCTTTAAAAATTTGAGTGAGCTGATGAGTAGGCGATGCTTTTTACCGTTTGATCAAACATATTTATCAAATGACTGCTGATAGTTCAATCAAATGAAGATAAGAATTGAACAAAATAATGGTGACATCAGAAGCACTTTATCCCCAAAAGTGTTCAGATGTTTTCTTCTGGCATACAGTAGAAGTCACAAAAATAACAAAATTGTATTTTCCACATGATTTTCTCTACTCTGGGGCTCGGCTCTCAATTGTTGAATCGTTTAGAAAATTTTGGAGAATGTACAACAGATCTAGATTGAAAAGTTTTCATTCACAGAATGTTTCGAAAGTTTTTAGTTTTTCAGCTAATAGCCGGTTTCTGAAAGACACCTGCTCTTTTTACGTTTTTAGTACAAAAATTATCCGAAAATGGTTGTCTTTCAGAAATCGGCAAATAGCTAAAAAACTAGGAATTTTCAAAAAGTTCTGTAAACGCAAAATTATACGGTGCTGTAGCTTTGATCTCCGGCATGGAGCTTTGCTTGAACTATACAGAAATTCAAAAAATACAGATACACAAGCAAATTCTATTTTTCAGATGTCGAAGTCGAAAAGCAACACGTGGAGCGCATCCACGAGATCGAGAGCTTCGATTCCACCAAGCTCCATTCGACTCCAGTCAAGGAGAAGGTCGTTCTTCCATCTGCTGAGGACATCAAGCAAGAGAAACAGCACCAAGAGCTCACCGATGGAATCCAAAACTTCCCATCGGAGAATTTGAAGAAGACTGAGACCACTGAGAAGGTAACGGTTCCCGAAAACTCACTTCAACTTTTTGTTTACATTTATCCCTATTCCAGAACGTTCTTCCATCTCCAACTGACATTGCTCGTGAGAAGACTCTTCAGATGGCTGCTTCGTTCGACAAGAGTGCTCTCCATCACGTCGAAACTGTCGTTTCCAACGACGTTCGTGTCACCGACGCCCAATAAAAGGTCTCCGACACCAACAAAAATTTTTTCTTATGACTTATCTATAGTTCGAAATCAAAACCACTAGGTCACAAGGCGTGGATTATTCCTTTCTGAACTTCGGAGATTGTAATCTATTTTCTTATTTTCCAGGGTTCCTTCACAAACACTCGGTACACCTACATCTTGTGTCAGAAAGAAGCCAGACGACGATTTCTTTTAAATTTTCATCTATATTAAAAGCATTTCTCTGTTTTCTGGTTCGAGTTTTATTGATTTTCGCTCTCTTTTCTTATCCAAAAACACTTGTATTTCTTTATCCCAAATCAAATGCATATTTTGGTGTATCGGCATTCTAATCATTCCATATTTATTCTCTGAAAATAAAGCTTTTAAACTGAAAATTTGAAAAAAGACCACTGTAGTTGAGAAAATACCGTCTTTTGAATGGGAAATGGTGTCATTCGATCGCCAATTTTTTCTTCATTCAGTTTCTGCATTTTTTATCTGAAAATTTGGTTGAAAACACACTGAAAACAATAAAAATACCTTCACGCCTCGTGCAAATATTGGTTTCTCCCTCGTAAATCTACACTAGAACGTCAATTCGCTGCGAGACCCGCAACGTAGAGAGTGTGCGCGGAGAAGAGAGCGCAGACACATTGTTGCCCCGTCATTTTTGCGTGGCATTTCGATTTATGCAAGGTCGCTCTTTTTCTCGCCGTTCCCTTTCATTTTTGTTCGTGTTCTCGCTTTTTGATATTATTTTTGAGTGTTTTTCTATTTCAGGTAATGCCCAAAACTACTGGGATGCTCACAAAACTTCTTTTCGTTGGATTATTGACCGGTGCCGCTGCATTCTACCTTCCCGGACTGGCTCCAGTCAATTTCTGCGAAGTGGAAAAAGCAAATTGTCCGGTAGGTCTTTTATCTTATTTTCATGAGGAAGTAAACATTCCAAGTTATTGATTTTCCACCTTTGCAGAGCAATGTCTCCCTGTACGTCAATCACCTCGACAGCGATCGATCGGTCATCCCATACGAATATCACAGGTATGTTTGTGTACAACGCAGAAAAAAAGTTTCGATTCAAAATATATATGACGTGTTTCAGTTTCGACTTCTGCACAGTGAACGAAGATGAGTCACCAGTTGAAAACCTCGGACAAGTTCTCTTCGGTGAACGCATTCGACCAAGTCCATACAAGGTAGAATCATAAAAACTCTACAACATAAACAAAACTACCCGTTTCAGGTCAAATTCTTGCAAGAGGAAAAGTGTCGTCTGGTTTGTGACACCAAGAAGTATGCACGAGGAAGCGCCGATGATCTTGCCAAGCTCCGTCTCCTTCAAAGAGCCATGACTCTCAACTACCAGCACCATTGGATTGTGGACAACATGCCGGTGACATTCTGCTTTAAGAATCTTCAGAACATGGATGTGTGCACCACCGGATTCCCAGTTGGATGTTTTGTAGATGATCAAGGATACCAACACGACGCTTGTGTTCTTAATGTAAGTGTTCCAAGAAGATGGTCCTTCTTAGAAGGTGTTGTAACAACGGCAAATATTTCTTTCTGAGATTATGTTAATGTATGTGTTGTGTTTGCGTAATTCAACAAACGCATTTTGAGATACAGTACCGGCTGATAAGATATACAAATTTTTCAATGATTTTGATCATTTTGAAGAATCTGGAGCTCGGATGTCAAGTGATCGATAACTTAAAAAATTTTAGAGGGTGTGAAACAGATATAGATTTAAAACTTCTCATTCACAGAATGTTTCAAAAATACCTAGTTTTCCACCTATTTGTGTTTCTGAATGGTACCTCATTTTACCAGTTTTTGCACTGAAAACATGAAAAACCAGGTGTCTTTCTGAAAATGACGAAAATCAAGGTTATCTTCATAATGTATCGGGGGGCTATAATGGGGTATACCCATTAATCTAATTTTCCAGCAAAAATACAACACCCCGAACAACTTCTACATTTTCAATCATGTCGACATCGAGATCTACTACAGAGATATGAGCAACGATGCCAACTTTTTGGAGCACAGAGTCGGAGGCCGCATTATCCGAATTGACGTCAAGCCACGCTCTATTAAGCACAGCTCCTCGTCGAGCCTCGACTGCAGCGAGTCCGCGGAGCCAATCGCCATTGATGCCAAGTCCGAAAGTGCTGAAATTACCTATTCGTATAGTATCAAGTGGACTAAGACTGATATCAAATGGTCTTCAAGATGGGATTACATTCTTCAATCCATGCCACACACCAACATCCAATGGTTCTCTATCATGAATTCTTTGGTCATTGTGCTTTTCTTGACTGGAATGGTTGGAATGATCATTATGAGAACCCTTCATCGTGATATCGACCGTTACAATAGACTGGATACGGAAGAAGATGCCCAAGAGGAGTTTGGTTGGAAGTTGGTCCATGGTGATGTTTTCCGCACACCACGTTACCCAATGCTCTTGTCGGTGTTTATTGGAGCTGGTTGTCAGACATTGCTCATGGTTTCAGTGACGTTGGGTGAGTTAGAACGTTCACAGTTCACAATAATCTTCCTTTTTTTTCAGTCTTCGCCTGCCTTGGATTCCTCTCGCCAGCCAACCGTGGATCCCTTATCACTTTTGCTCTCTTCTTCTACGTTCTTTTTGGAATAGTCGCCGGATACATCTCAGCTCGTCTTTACAAAACGTTCGAAGGAATTCACTGGAAGACCAACTTGGTGATGACAGCTTTCCTGGTTCCTGGAATCCTGTTCACCGTGTTCTTCTTCTCTAACACACTCCTCTGGACCAAGGGATCGTCGGCTGCAGTACCATTTGGAACTCTTCTTGTCCTTCTCGTCCTTTGGATCTTTATCTCTGTCCCAATGACATTCATCGGAGCATACTTTGGATTCAAGAAGCGCGGAATTGAGGCTCCAGTTAGAACTAACAAGATTCCAAGACAGGTTCCAGAGCAGACTTTCTACACGAAACCGCTTCCAGGAATGTTAATGGGTGGAATTCTTCCATTCGGATGTATCTTCATCCAGCTCTTCTTCATCTTGAATAGTATTTGGTAAGCTTTGGAAATAATTCAATGAGGCAGTGATAAAATATAAAAAAATTTCAGGGCTCACCAGACCTACTACATGTTTGGATTCTTGTTCCTTGTGTATTTGATCCTCATCATCACATGCTCGGAAGCAACTATCCTCTTGGCTTACTTCCATTTGTGTGCGGAAGACTATCACTGGTGGTGGAGGTCGTTTATGACGAGTGGTTTCACTGCGATCTACTTGTTCATTTATTGCATTCACTTCTTTAATACGAAGTTGACTATTAGTGGAACGGTGAGTGATTTGTTTTGGAAGTGGAGGATACAAGCGACGGCACAATGTGCGATTCGATGAACTTGGTGGATATATTGGTTCTTTCCGGGAAGAATAGTCCCAAGATGGGATTGCCGATCCCAAAGATTAATCTAATGCTCCGATCACGGTCCTAACGTTTTGATCACTGTCTCAACGTTTGCATACTGGCCCAACCAACAGTCCGACACATTGCATTTTGTATTCTATTTAATAATGGTGTCTGCTGGTTGGATCGTAAACTGAGGACCGTTGTCAAAACGTTGGAACTGTGATCTGAATGTTGAAACCGTGACCCAAGTGTTGAAACAATAATTAAAATGCTGGGACTATGATCGGAACATTAATACCGGTATAGAAAATCGTTGGGACCGGCAGTATCACCACGGTTCTTACCGGAAAGAGCCACAACATATACAGATGAATTTTATTGAAAAAAAATCGTTTGTGATTTTAAAATGTAATCTATAGTTGTGCCCAATGAATGAAAACTATAGAATAACGATTTGTTTTGAAAGGGACAACGGTTTTTCTTGACTGGATCAAATCAATCTTTCGTTTTTCTTTGTTCCTGACGTTTAAGACAAATCACTGAGATCCCTAGTTTCATGTCCAATTTTTGCAGTAATTTAAAGTAAATCATGCCATAAAAAGATAACCAAACTATTTCACTTTTTGCAGATCTCAACAATCCTCTACTTCTCCTACACTTCAATTTTCGTCTTCATGTTCTTCTTGATGACTGGAACTATCGGCTTCCTCGCCACCTACTACTTTGTGCGAAAAATCTATGGATCCGTCAAGGTTGACTAACCAGTTACTGTTTTTGATTACTGTTGTCAACCGAATGTATTTGTATCTTATTTCTTCTTTTCTCTCTTTCTCTCTTTAACTTCTTACTTTCGGTCAATTTATCTCCGGCAATAGAATAATCCGGAATAACCAGTCTCCTTCATGTGACTGAAGAAACAACGTATGGGTTGTAAATGTTTATATAGTAGTTAATTTATTCATTTTTGAGAATCGTTCTTCTTTTTTCTCTCTTCCAACAGTTCTTGCTTTTGTTTTTTGCTTTTTGTCCTAATCCCGTGGGTATTGTATTTTAAATTTTTCTGGGAAACAGAACCGCAAAAAATCCTTGCTTTATTTGTCCCTTTTCTTACTATTTGGCTCCTCTCACTTGTGCTTATTCTGTGAAGAGATAATTATAAAACTGTCTGATTGTTCAATTTTGTTCGAACGGCTAATAATGTTCTTCTATCCCGCTTTGGGGGGTTTGAGAACAAGTTTTTATACATAAAACCTGTTCCGATTCCTCGGGATTTTCTCCTCTTCTCTTGTGAATTGAGAGGAAGTGTAATGTTTATAAGCTTGAAATTGGGTCAGACGTTCGGTTTTGGTCAAACACGTTTGCCGCCCTTTTCCCTTCAATTGCAATCGCTGGCTGTGGATAATCGGATAGTTCTCTCCGTTTTCAACGATACGACTAGATTCTCGGAAGAAAATGCAAACAAATCTGATTGTTGCCGTTTTTCTTATTGGTGAGTATTACTTTTAAAATTGTGAAAATTGACATCTTGGTTGTAACATCTGGTCAAAAGTTCGCCGGGTTTTGATCAGAACTTGCCTAAAAACGTTTGTAAAGCTGGAATTGCAGTTGAAAATTGAAATATCACTAGGTAGAAAACTTCTTCCACATTTGAGAAGCGTGGTCGGCTGTAACAGTGGTCCTATCCAAAATCTGACTTCTCTCTGACTAGATGTTACCGGCGATGCTCGAGTTAGGTTAATAGGAATTATCAGGTGAAATACGTTTCAGTTGTATCTGTTAGTTGGGTCAGTGCTGAAGCTATTCAAAAAGGAAAATTGGCAAAACATGGACTGATGAAGGAGAATAAGCCAAACTGTCTGATGGTAAGCTTTTCATAAGACCTGAAAATTCATAAACTTCCAAAAAACGTGTGTTGCAGACAAGATCCCGATTGGGCTGCGCTTGCACCACTTGCAAAGAAGTCGTTGGATTCACCAGAATGCTGATTCTCAACCATGTGCCAGAGGAGACAGAGGTTCTTGAGAAAGTGTGCTATAGAGTTTTCGGAGATGACAAGAAGAAAGAGTCATTCTGTGAGGAATTGATTAAGGTGAGTTTTGTAAAATCTGAAATCGATAAATCCACTTTTTTGTGTTCAGGAAGAGCTGCCCGACATTATCAAATACGTCAGAAATCATTTGGAGCCAAAGCAAGCTTGTGCCAAGTTCTGTTAGAAAACGATCGCTTTGTTTGTATCAATAATAACTTTATTTGTGACAATTCGGGATTTCGTGAAAAAATAAACAATAAACACATTTTTCTTTTTTCCTAATAAATTTGAACTTCTGTGGATTTGACTTCGACTCTTCTCAATTTTTTTTGACAGTTATATTTTTAGGTTACATGGAGAAAAAACCGATTCATTCAAAACACCAGATAAATGGAAAAATAGTTCAATGATGAACATAACACGCTATTTCCTTGATAACTGCAATTCTGCCATACTTGTTCAGCGTGTACCATCTGTCAAAAGAAAATTTCTTTTTTTTAATGTTCCAACCTACCTTCCGAGACGACAAATTGCTTTGTGAGTGTCATTTTCAATTAATCCTAACGAGTTATCGTTGGAAACCAACTCAACAACACCACTAGTCTCTCCTTCACACGAAATGTGAGCAATTTGTTGGCCAGAACCTTCGAAATATCTCGAATAACAGAAAAATAGGTTATAAAATAATGTATGCTGACTTACATTATTTTCGCGTCAACTGTGTCATCCTTATTGTCCCTGACAGTTGCAATATCGGGGCATTGTTCTGAAATTTGTTACATATATTATTTATAAGGCAATCTAAATTTTACTTCCTGCAGCTGTAACGATATGCTTTGACAGAATACAGATTAGCGTGGAAATAGCAAGAATTATTGTGCTGGAACACATAGAGAATGAAAATTGAACTATGAATTGTGTTCAATACTTCGTTGTTTTATATCTTCTTTCTTTTTATCATCAGGTGATTGTGTTGTTGGCCGCTGACAGCTGTGAATGAAATGGCTGATGAGTCATAGACACCCCAATGAATTCCGACGGAGAAAAACTAAACTTTTAATTAAAACTTTAGGGAATATTTGAGGTTGGGGAAGATACACAGCTTCAAAATTCATGACACGATTTTAATTCCTTGATTCCTGGAACTGCCAAGGAAATGTCATTTTTTACACATTCACTGTGCTGGTTTTGAGAGAAAAAAAAGATAAATGCCGGTTGACTTTTTCTGGTGTTCAATGGCAGAATGATTGCGAACATTCAAAACAATATTCTTCAAAGAAACATTTTCTAAAATGTGGTAAAGTGTCAATCAGAGCCACTTGTGATTTCTGCTAGACTACGAATTGGTAATTCCAGCAGCCGAGAGTCGATATCATGTTGATAAGCTAGCACTGACAAAGAAACTCATGTGGAGAGATGGCCGAGCGGTCTAAGGCGCTGGTTTAAGGCACCAGTCCCTTCGGGGGCGTGGGTTCGAATCCCACTCTCTTCAGTTCTTTTTTTCAATTTATTTTGAAACATTATCGACTTGCACCTTTTGTCATGTTTTATGTCACAGTCATGTTTTCTTTAGTTACAACAAACGTATGACTACAATTATTCCAAACAATACTGTCTGGTAAACATGAAAACCAATACAAATCTTTTGAAATGTGGTAAAGTGTCAATCAGAGCCACTTGTGGTTTTTGATAAACATTTCGAAATGACAATCCAAACAAACAAGTATCTAAATCAGTTTGATAAGACGGAATTGACATGGACTTTGATGTGGAGAGATGGCCGAGCGGTCTAAGGCGCTGGTTTAAGGCACCAGTCCCTTCGGGGGCGTGGGTTCGAATCCCACTCTCTTCAGTTCCTTTTTTTAATTCCTTTATTGAGTGGCTAATATGTTTAGGAGGTTCTGATATGTGAAATTGACTTTGGCAGCAATTTTGGTTCCTATAAGAAAACCATTTTCTCATTTCCTAATAACATCATCAAATGTACGATACGCAACAATGCGACCTCTCCTCATATTCTCTCATTGTCTCCTCGATTCCCAACAGATGCAACATCCGACCTCATCTAATGTATATCGTTTTAGGAGAGAGCACTGTAATAAAGGAGAGTGCGAGAGAGATGACAACGTCCAGCAGACAGTGGTCCTTAGCGTGTGCGCACACTGTTCCCTTTTCCCCTGCCGTTTATTGATCGGCTGATATTTAAATTTTCCTTCAAAATGTATTTGAAGAAGCATGAATCGAAGCTTTTGTTAATACCGAAAAATGAAGATAAAGGTAGGAAAACGTATTTTTGCTGAATTGTTCATTTTTAAAACTTTTTTTCAGAAGACGCTGGTATCATAGCTGTTCTCACCGATAGAGTTCCCAGTGTACTAATAGTTCGATGGTTCGACTTGTTCTGCTTTGGCTTTGCAATGTGTTCTTATGTCTTAGACTTTTTCTCGGATATTGGCATTGCTATATTTCATTTTTGGGCGGGAAGAGTGAATTTTTAAATTAAAAGACATTTTACAAGGAACAGAAAGTGTTTTCAGCATTTATCTGGAGCTCTAGTCCTCACTTTTGCTCTTATCCCATCAGTAATTATCAATATAATCTCTATGGTATGGATGCTGGATGACGAAATGCATTGGAAACGAAGAGCACATCCTAGGAGAACCGGAACGTTTGAGTTGAACCAGAAAAGGTTCATTTCTCTTGGAAAAATGATCACTCTATGTATTTTTCAAGTAAGTTTATTTTAAAAGTCTTTTTAAATGAAAATATTTAGATGGGTCCGTTGTTTTGGTACTACAAAGCCTTGTACTACGGTTGGATGTTCACAAAAAACAAAAAGGATGATACAGACAAAGAAAAACGAAAATTTTTCATGAAAATGGTGGAAGCAGAACGAGATGCAACACTTTTGAGGTAGCTATTGCAGAATAACATTTCAAAAATCAAATTTTCATTTTAGGTTCTTCGAAGCCTTCCTCGAATCTGCACCTCAGCTCATCATTCAAGGATCCATTGCTGCTAACTACTTCCAGAACTACTATATCTCTGGAAAGTACCCATACTGGCTCTATTTTCAAGCTGCCTCTCTCACACTATCAATTATTAGTATTTCCTGGTCCGTTGTCGTTCAAAACCGTTCGTTACGAATGACCAGAGATGACAAAGTCAATATTTGGCCACACGAAGCAGTACTGCAGGTGAGAGATTGCAAAAGCGATAAAAGTATACAATTGGGAGAGAAGGACAAAGTTATTATGGGCGAAAAAGTTAATTGTTTTTCAGTTTTGCTGGAGATTCCTCACGATCTTGGCGAGAATCATCACACTGGTAGCGTTCGTGCTGTTGTTCGGAATCTATGTAGTTTTTCTGATCTTTGGACACTTGATAGTCACTCTGGTACACGTTATCTTCTTACAGGTAGAAAATTTACTAAAAGCGTTGAAAACTAATACAATTTTTAGGCTCTCCACATTGAAGCATGCACACACATCGAGAAGCTTCTTTTGCTCATCAACGCTATGATTCACCTCTTCACACCGTTCAACATGGCTGAAGGAAACACAAGATATCGGTATTTAGTGGCATATACTGTTGAATTCATAGAAATGATGGTGAGTTTAGTTATCTGGATTGTACAGAAAACTTGAAACGCTTCCAGATCATCTTTTTACTCCTACCCACACCGCTCGATGCATTCCCTCTTATCGAAAAAATCCGAATCGGTGTTCCAGCTACATTTTTTATTGGTAAGTTTTCAATAAACACAAAAATACTAATTTTCAGTTTTAGGAATCTTCATCATGCTGATCTACTACAAATTCTTCCACCCAAATCGAAGGCAAGATTTGGAAGCGCCAAATGTTGAGCGCAACGAGAAGCTCGTGGTATCCGAGCTAAATGGGATTCCATCAGCTGCGATCGAGAAAGCTGAACATATAGAAGAAATCGAGGAACACTCTGTGCCAACAACTTCAGAGTCTCTCCTGGAAGAAGACGAGTGTCATAATTGAATTGCTGGTTGTTTGAATTGAAAATTCTGGTTGGAATCTGATCTCACGTGTTGATTTTTTTTTCTTGAAAAATGCATCTGTACATATGGAATAACATTTTTTGAATATCCTGAAATCTTTTTCTGGTGTTCAATGGCAGAATGATTGCGAACATTCAAAACAATATTCTTTAAAGAAATATTTTCTAAAATGTGGTAAAGTGTCAATCAGAGCCACTTGTGATTTCTACTAGACTACGAATTGGTAATTCCAGCAGCCGAGAGTCGATATCATGTTGATAAGCTAGCACTGACAAAGAAACTCATGTGGAGAGATGGCCGAGCGGTCTAAGGCGCTGGTTTAAGGCACCAGTCCCTTCGGGGGCGTGGGTTCGAATCCCACTCTCTTCAGTTCCTTTTTTTTCAATTTTCATGATCAGTACGAGGGTTTTTCGAACTGTTAGATTTCACAATCGAGTGTGGTTTTTTTTATATTCAAATTAAATGTGACAATTGATTAAATGAATTTATTTGGTTTCGAATGATATAATGGTTCATCAAGCTAGCCCCTTACCCAGAACGGTATAGAAGCGGAAACATAATTTTCGCCACTTTCGAGAAACCGATTGCTGCTCAGTTCAAGAAAACCATAGACAAAAACTGCTCTGTTTTTTAGAAACTACAGTTTTTGCAATTTACAATAAAACACTTTTCCAAAGAACTTTCCTTTCAGTTTACTTGCAACCTATGTATTTTGAAACTCAAAAAAGCAGTCCAAATAAAAGTAGAAATTCTGAGGTTATGAATTCAAACGGTTGTAACTTTCAAATAGGGAATTTTTCAAAATTCAGCAGATATATTCACAATGTCTTTGAACATCAACTGCGAATTGTTTGGGTCCTGTATGGCAAATGACAATATGAGTTTTTTTTGCTTCAACGTTATGCACACGTTCCTTCGCCGCACCCTGTGAAGTTCACGAACAATTATTTCAATTTTTGTGGAAGGTATCAAAAATGAGATAACTGACCAAATATTTTTGGTGTTATGACAAACAATTTATTAGTTGACAACCTTTCAACAACTTTAACTGGAACCAAGATAAATTGGCTCAAAGTTAAATGCCAAGGAGCTTTTCTATTACAGGGTTTATGGTATATTGAGAATAATCTTTTTTTTTTCAAATTCTGCAAAGCAAATGATAATTTTCTATGAGTGACTGGCATGTGTCAAGTGCAATCGCTAATTGTATTACGGCTGCACTATCATGCAAGTATCGAATGTGGAGAGATGGCCGAGCGGTCTAAGGCGCTGGTTTAAGGCACCAGTCCCTTCGGGGGCGTGGGTTCGAATCCCACTCTCTTCAGCTACCTTTTTATCAATTTTTTTATGAACTTTACCTACTCGATCCTTATTTAATGACACAGTCTTGTTCACAGAATCTAGCCAATGTACTGATTCACATAAACACACGTAAACTATTGGCGAAAACGTGTGTGGGTGGCGAGACACGCTGCGGGTGTATCAATTTTTCCGGTTCAGACTGTTCTTCACCTTTTTTTCACGAAAATCTCGTGCACTGTGAAATGGTGATGGTGAGGAAGAAGAAGACGAAGAAGAGGATACCGGACGGATAAGCATATATGTTTGTCGGAAGACTTACCGTCGGTGGACGGGGGCAACAATTGGTGGGAAGCTTGAGAAGATTATTCGGGAGAGTCTCAGACATTGAATCAGTCAGGGGTTTCGGAAAAACCGACGCGAGAAGAGTGAGAAAGAGGTGGTCAACTATCTCACACCACCATATAACTCTTCCCTCCTCCTCTCTAAATTTCTTCGGTGATCCTTATTAACTTTTCAAGAGTTGTACTTTTTCATACTCCAACATATCCATAGCAATTGAGATTAAAGATCAAAGAATTACTGAGCTCTATTTATCACTGCATGCCAAAGGTAATGTTCTGATTTCTGTCATTTTAGATGTTTGACCAGTTTGTCAAACATGGCACAAGATGGAACTTGTAAAACAATGATACCACTAAACTTCCGATTTTTAAACTAAGGATTATGTCCAGTCTAAACAAAGTGCATTTCGGGAAATATCACAGGAATTTGATAGAATTAGAGATTTTTAATGGGTCTAGCATACTAGTATTGTATCTGGTAGCTCAAAAAACCGCCGAAAAAACAGTTCGGTAGCCTTATAACAGCTATCAGTTAAACAAAATTATGTTCTCTGTGAGTTGAAATGTCTTTAAGACAAGTGAGTTGTTAAATTTTTTGTGTTGTAGATCAATTTTAACATTTCCAATGTTTCAGCTATTCTCCGATCGTCCGCCTTTAAATGCAGTTCTTCAAGAAAAGGCACAGAAAATCCGATACTCATGTTCACCATCCAAATGCTTACACTCCTTACTATCCTTCCTTCCAATTATCACATGGCTCCCAAAGTATGACTGGTCGCATTCATTTTTTGGAGATCTTTCAGGAGGCCTGACAATGGCTGTTTTCTCGGTACCTCAAGGTAAGGTATAACAGATACGATAACAACTTACAGTATCAGTCAATAAGATATACAAAAACGTTTATTTTAGTTAATTTTGATCATATTTTGGGGTTTGAAGCTCACCGCTTTAGTTTTCTATTACTTTTGAAACGTTAAAGGGTGCAAAACAGACCTAGATCGAAAACTTTGCATTAACAGAATTTTTCAGAAATGCTCAGTTTTTCAACTATTTGTCTATTTCTGAAAGACACCCTTATTGACCTTTTTTTGAATTAAAAATTGAAAAAAACGGTGTCTTTCAGAAACTGGCAAATAGCTGGAAAGTTAGGAATTTCGAAAAAAATTCTGTAATATCAAATTTCTCAATCTAGGTCTGTTTTATACTCTCCAAAATATTCACAGTTGACGAAAATTTGACTGCTGAGCTCTAGACTCCTGAAAAGTTGTCAAAGTAACCGAAAATTAACTGAAAAATTGTTTTTTAGCTTATTGGCAGAACTGATTATTGACCAGTACTGTACCTATTAATTTTCAGGTATCGCACTTGCAAGTATCACAGGGGTACCACCAGTCTACGGGTTATACACGGCTATCTTCCCCTCATTCCTTTATATCTTTTTTGGGACTTCGAAACATAATGCGTTAGGTAAACCATCCTTTGACGTCCTTTTCGGAAGATCTTTGTTTCAAAAAAAAATGCACACACAGAAAAAACGCAACCTCCCAATTTTAGGTGGATTTGCGGTCCTTTCACTCATGACCCACGGAGCAATTGAGAAAGTGATGTTGAGAACGGCAACGAGTTATAATGCAACCGCATATGTGAATCATACACTGGATGAGCTATTTGATAGGGACAATGACACAATTATCACAAATACCACTTTGATGCAGTAAGAAAATTGAGAAAGAAAACGATTTGAGTTAGAAATATTCCAGAATACTAGGAAATGAAACTTCATTCGTGGAAGAAGTCACGATGGAGATGTGGACAGAGGGAGTGACGCCGGTCAAACAAATCCACGTGGCAACTACAATCATATTTTTGGCGGGAATCATTCAGGTAAAGAACCGTCTCTTGTATACAACAAATTTGCAAACGCGTTTTCAGTTGATTTTTCCTTATTTTCAGAAATCTGGAGCTCAGATATCAAGTGTCCGATCATTTTGAAAACTATAGAGGTTGTCAAACAAACCTAGATTAAAAACTTTGCAGTCACATAATTTTTTGAAAATTCCCATTTTTCAGTTTTCTGCCGATTTCTGAATGACACCCTTTTTTTACACGTTCTCAGTATAAAAACAGGCCTAAAAAAGTGTTTTTCAGAAACAGACAAATTGTTGAAATACTAGAAATTTAAAAAGATTCTATGAATGTAAAGTTTTCAATCTAGGTTTATTTCACGACCTTCAAAGTTTTCAAAGTAATAGAAAACTTGACAGTCGAGCTTCACCCTTCTCAAAATGGTCAAAATGTCCAAAAATCAACTGGAAATAGGTTTTTGTATATCTTGTTTACCGTATTCTGTACCAATTTTGATGTTTCAGGTTCTTATGGGAGTGTTTCGTCTTCAATACTTGACATCTCTTTTTTCTGAGCAAGTTATGTCTGGATTCGTAGTTGGTGGAGGCGTTCACGTGTTTTTTGCTCAAATCGGAAATATGCTTGGGATAGAACTCCCAAGAAGAAATGGTCCAGGATATTTATATTACGTAATGCATTTTCTAGCCACTTGAAAAACCCTTTCTTCTGATTTTTCAGAGAATCTGGGATCTCATAGAGAACCTGGATAATGTCCACATTCCGACAGTTTCAATTTCCATGTCATCATTTTTATTCCTGGTCATAAGCAAAGAATACCTTGCCCCTTGGTTCAGCTCTGCTTTCAACTATCCAGTCCCGTTTGAGCTGCTATTGGTGAGAAACACACGCATGACGTCAATATTTATGTTGGTGATTAAGGTGGTTGTTGGAATTACTGCTACTGATTACGCGGAACTGTCTCGGCGGCATGACGTGAAAGTTGTAGGGAATATACCAACTGAGTAAGTTGTAAAGAGAATATAGTTTCTTGATATCTGGACGACTGCTCTAATAGAAGCCCATTTTATACATGAACTTTGAGCTCGATTATTTCGGTTTCCACGAGAGATATCTAAAATTCTCAAAATGATAAATTGATTATCATAATGTCACCAACATTTCATCAATACATATATTTTCGATATAAATTGAACGAATCGAGATAATTGAGTTTAAAGTGCACGTATAGAAATTTTTTATTAGAACAAATACGGTAACGTAAATACGGTTCAATACGGTAGTTATTTTCAGATTTCCTCCACCATCCCTTCCAAGATTCGATTTGATCAGGCACATTGGACTCAACGCGGTTGCTATTGCTATTACAGCAGTTGCTATTCATATTACTGTAGCAAAAGTTGTTGAGAAACGATACAAATACAAAATCAATCATGGACAGGAACTCTACGCTCTTGGATTTGTTGGAGTTTTATCATCCTTCTTCCCAGTTTTCCCGGTGACTTCTGGATTTGCAAGAAGTGTAGTCGGAGCCGCCGTCGGAGGTTCTACTCAACTCACTTGTCTCTTCTCTTCTTTGGCTTTGCTATCTGTAATTCTGTATATTGGTACGGCACTTAAATATTTGCCACAATGCATTCTGTCAGCAATGATTATTTTTGCTCAAAAGGGAATGTTTGAGAAGTTTGGTGAGCTGAAAAGCTTATGGCCAGTTTTCAAAATCGATTTTGTAAGTTCCAATTTTTACTTATATTTGAATACACGATTTTAAGAATTGTGAGAGAAAACATTTCTTTCATTGCCTTTCATTGATTCTCATTTGCATTTTGCAGGCTATCTGGTTGATGAGTTTCTTCCTCACAGTGTGCTATGATATGGGAGAAGGTCTTCTGATGGCAATAGGTTTTGCAGTGCTAACAACGATTATCAGAACTCAACGGTATTTTATTTGGAACATGTTTTATCACTAAAGTACCAGCCAATTTTTACCACTTTCACAACTACAGTGTCGATGCACATTTTTTAAGTTAATTTCTTGTCATTTTCACCATTTTCAGAAATCTGGGCTCGGCTGTCGAGTTTTTGAACACATTGAAAATTTTAGACAGTAAAAAACAGGCCTATTTTAAAAATTTTGCATTCACAGAATTTTCTGAAAATTCCTAGTTTTCAGTTATTTGCCATTTTCTGAGAGACACCTGTTTTTACGTTTACAGTGCAAAAACGGGCCATAAATGGGTGTTTTTCATATATCCCAAATAGCTGGAAAACTAGGAATTATCAAAAAAATTCTGGGGATCAAAAGTTTTCAATCTAGGCTTGCTGTATACCCTCCAAAATTTTCAAAGTGATCGAAAACTGGACAGCCGAGATTTGGACTCCTGAAAATAGTGAAAATAAACAAACTGAAAATTACGAATTTTGTAAATCTTATTTACTGGCACATGTGTATAACCAATTTTCAGTCCAAAATGGCACTTCCTGTCTCGAGACGATGAAACTGAAAGTTTCAAAGAGACCAAGAAACGAGACCTGGAACGGATTCAGGGAAACGTTTGCATTTTCCGAATGGATGCACCGTTGATTTTTACAAGCAGTGACAGATTTACAATGGTATGTGCAATAAAAACCGATCCCCAAAATTTTTTCATTCCGCTCCAATTCCATTATTTATTTGTTTTGCAGTCTGTATGGCAGTGTGTCAAAAAATGGGAACGATGCAAGTCCGAATCGTTCGTCACAATTGAGCAGATGAATTCTGACAAGAGTGCTGATATATTTGACTCGGTACGCGTAGATTGTTGTTGTTTTGTTTAGTTTTTGATTGACACTCTGTATAAAACTTGAAAACTGAATATTTTTCAGAAACTGAAAGCTGCTCGTCGACGCTGGAAGAGAGATCAAAAATCGGAGAGTCGATGTAAACTGGTGATTGATTGTGATGGTTTCCCTTATGTCGATTATCTGGGATTATCCACATTGAAAAGTGTCTATGTGGATTTGCAAGCTGCTGGTGTTCAGTGCTATTTTGTTGTTCAAAAGTCAGAATTGAAACGATTATTCCGTGCTACAGATTTCTATGATGTAGTAGATGAGGCCAGAGTGTTTAACAAAGTTGCGGATGCTGTGAAAGCAGCAGAACAAAATATTTCGTGAGTTTACAAAAAAAACCAAAAAGATTTCGCTCCCGGGTGGGCTCGAACCACCAACCTTTCGGTTAACAGCCGAACGCGCTGCCTATTGCGCCACGGAAGCACACAAACCTCTTGGTGTCTACTCTGTTGACTAACCACTCATCGGTGGAAAAGAGAGTGGAGCGGTGGGAAGATTCTCTCCCCCCCGCCTTGCGTGTGTGTGTCTCTCTCTTGAGACGCGGCCAGAAAGCGACGTGAGACGACGTGAAGACATTTTCTAGCGACCTGCCTCTCTCGGGACGGCTCCCTCTCGTTTCACGTAAAATACGTGAAACTGGCTGGCCGTCTGCATCTCGCTTAAAAATAGATGAGAAGAGAAGAAAAGTGGACGCGAAGAAGAGAAGTGGCGAACTTTCTGTGCTGTAGAATTGTAGAAAACAGCATAAATGGGTAATTTCAGGTCGCTAAAATCTGCCAAAGAAGTTTTGACAGCTCTAGCAAGTATTGCAACTACTGATACTATTCTGATTGATGAGGAAGATATAGAAAATGAAGAGTCCTCAGAAATCGTAGGAGATGAGGGACGAGAAGAAGAAGAAGAAGCTAGAAGAAGAGCCGTATCCGAGCATTCAGAAGAAATAATGTCAGAAACATCAGTGTCGATTGGAGAAGCCAGAAGCACAGCTTCATCAAGAAACTCCATAAACTCGGATCAATAAATTTGTATATCATACTTTTTATTTAAATTAAAGTTTTTATCATGTAAACCATTCAAAGCGAGTATCATTTTAATTTTGTTTGCTGAATTATTCATTGTAATGTTATTATCTCACATTTTTGATTGTCACTTTTTGCCATCCCACTCACCTGAAATCAAATAATTATTATTATTTTAATTAAAAACAACAAATAAAAATTCAAGCCATTCAGAATGTCACCTAATTTGCAATCTTGCACATGTTACCGTTCGTCCAATTATACACATGACAGTACCCTTTCAAGCATGACATAACCCTATTTCGTTCTAAATATGGGCGGTTTCTGTTCAAATATATAGGCAAAAAGAAAAGAGAGAACAACTAAAAAAGGCAGGATGTATAGACGAAAGGATTTTTGTCTTTTCTCCTAGAGTGTGAATTTCCGCGGGATTTCAAGAGGTTGTCCTTTTTGAAATAAGATGAAATGCGGTCCATGGTTTCAAGTGATTTGTTTGAAAACACTTGAAATGTAGTCTCGGATTTTTATAATGAAACATTACGATGTTGTTCGGAATGTGTCCCAGAGGGGTGGCTTTCTAGCTTTGAACGTATTGCTTTTTCGTAAAAAAATCGTTTAAAAAATTTTTCATGATTTTTGTAGTTCAAACTATCAATCTGTCTAGTCAATAATGTATTTATTCGAATGAAACGTTGTAATAGAAAAAAATGCAAAAATAACTGAAAATATCTCACCAGGTATTTTTTTTCTTTTTTTCGAAATAAGAGACGATAAACAATTTCAAAAAAAAGTTGAGAATCTCGAACTGCTAGAGTAATTTTTTGAGCATAAAACTACCGTAAAACCTTGTAATAGAAGCCACACTCTCAACTTTGAGCTCAATTATCTCAGTAAATTGTTTAACATAAAATTACCGAAATTTTATCAGTTGATAACTTTTTTACATGTCATACAGTAACCAAGATAATTGAGCTTGCAATTAAATGTTAAGAGACCTTTTATGCTTTCATTCAGAATTTTCTTGGCTTGGTCCGTTCTGGCAAAGGTTTTCAGTAATTTTTTGCTTGTAAAAACATTTTTCGAATTAATAAAATTATAAATATCATTTCTGCCCAGTAAGAAGTTTGCGAAGAACTGAATGTTGTTAAAAATTATTTTATTTCACAAAAATATTTGAAACTTTCAGAAATTTTTAACTTTTTCAAATCAGAAAAGGCAGTAACTTTTCTGGATAAGCTGTTTTCTGAAAAATAAAATTTTCAAACAAAAACCATTTTGATTTGCTACCCAATCAAACTTTCTGTTGTTTTTTGACTCTCATCAAAAACATCGGCACCTGTTATGCTTCATATCCGGAAAAAAACTAGAAAAGACACAATTTAGCCACATGTCAAAAAATCCATGAAGAATAACAACACACACACGCAAAGCGCTTTTACACGCACTTGATAAAAGATGAGTCGTCGGCGAAAAGATAGATATTGTGAGTTGAAGTTTTCATAATTTTCTGTCTATCTTTCATCCCTCTTCCTCAGGTGTAAACCGCCGTCCGTTTTGCACACGGTGGTGGTTTCCTGCGTTGCGGCGTTGAATTACTTGTGCCCTCCTCATCAGAACATCCTGATCTTGGACCTACAAATGATAAAGATGATATGCATCTCTTTTTGACCTCTTACCGCCTTTTTATCTATTCTCGTTGACTGATAAAGATCCTTAAATAAGCGAATCGAAGGGAACGGACCACTTCCCGCTTGTCAACAATTAGTTTTATTTCATTTTTCTCAGCTTTTTGACAGGTGACACCTCTTTTCCGCTTTTCCACCTCTCGCTCCCTCCATTTTGCGGTCTTTATAGAGTAATTATAGGATTTTGTGGGAGAGAAAGGAAATAGGAAAATGGATACGGGGAATGGATACCAAATTCAAGGTTAATAGCCCTAGTAGTCTGCCATAATTAGTTACTTTCTGGAATAAAAAAGTATAGAATTCACTTTTTAACTCTTTGAAGTTATTTCAAAGTATAGAAAACCACCAATTCAAATTTTCTTGTGCTATTAAAATTTTTGAAAGATTTTTTTCTGGTTTTTCGTTTGTCGTATACATATTTAGTGCAGTTGACTGAACCTCATTGCATATCTCACTTTAATTCTCCCAAAATTTTTACACCACTCACCCCACCCCTTTTACGCTAATGCGGTGAGCGTGATAAACCGACCAGTCATCACCGGGAATTTATATAGAAATAACAATAATAATAATATTAACACAAAACGCACTTTTGTAGTAGTCACTCCGTTTTTAGCGGTGGGCGCTTATATGTAACAATAATTTGCATGTCCTGTTTTGGGGTTTCGCAATTATTATGAGGAGCGGCGGACTTTTCCGTTTCCCATCGTCTTTACATATGGAAGAAATCGAAATCATCAAGCCATTAAATGATTTGGGATTTCACAGAGTAAATTTCATGCTTGATTTCGTTTTTAGTTGGTTTTTTTTCCCTGGGAAATCCGTTGTACCGTATTTTTTATACGAAAAAGCATTTTCCGATTTTTTTCACTGGTTGCAACTATTTGTATTAATAGTTTTGGGACGTACAGTTCCGGATATACAAAACTAAATTTTCAGTCGATTTTTAGAATTTTCAAGAGTCTGGAGCTCAACTGTCCAGTTTCCGATCATTTTGAAAAATACAAGGTGATTGTAGGGAGTAAAACAAAGTTTTCGTGTTTGATTAACATGGCAACAGCAGAATCTAGGAATTTCACATTACTTTTTGTCATTTTGATATCCTGTTAAACAAGTAGAGGACCTATTCTTGTTACCGCGCATCATCCCAAAACACCCATCCAAAAAATAGAACGCCGTGGCACTATATTACAGTGTTACCGTATTTGCCGATTTCTGAAAGACGGATCTTTTTTCCCGTTTAATGTTCTAAAAATGTGAAAAATGATTATTTTTCAGAAATCGGCAGATAGCTAATAAACTAGGAATTTTTGAAAAATCCTGTGAATGCAAAAATTTGAATTTAGGTCAGTTTAATACTCTCCAAATTTTTCAAAGTGAGTGGAAACTTGACAGCCGAGCTCCAAACTCCCGAAACTGGTCAAAATGGCCAAAAATCAACAGGGTTTTTTAAATATTTTATTGATCGATACTATAATTTTGATGACTCTCGAAAATTCTCAAAATCAACTTAAGCCCTTTTTTGTGTATATTTTCAATTAACGTTTCCAAAAAAATTTGTTCAAATAACTTCACGAGTCTGTTTATCTAAATTTCCCTCATTTTCCTCAATATTGCCCAATCTTTATGTCCATATACATTTTCAAACGAGTGTGTGTCCAAGGTTACGGAGAGAGCTATAAAACTAACCGATCAGTGGATGTCTCCTTATCGCCATCATATCTATATTGACCGTCCTCCTCCCTCTCTTTTGTTTCATTATTCTTTCTCTTTTTACTATTACTACTATTGCCTCGTTTTATATATTTACTATCCAATTTTTGAACGACGGGGGCGAGATGCAAAAGTCGAAAATTAATCCGAATATAAAAGGTCCCACGCTAAAAGGCGTTTAATTAGATTAGCCTTTGGGAACGACAGAAAAAGAGATAGAGGGTGAAATAGAAAGCTGCCAAAATTTCAGGAATAGAAATTAAAATTGAAAGCAATTAACTTTGATGTTCCCCCTGTCCTATGTTTCCCTTTCCCCTCATTTTCACTTCTCGGATCTACTTTTAGGAGTGACCTCTTTCTATATAAAGCACAAAAAGTTGCCGACTCTTTAATGCTATCTCTAATTAGCATCTAGGTGGAGGATTATAATCAGATACACAATAACATACAGATCAAATTAAAATTAGCATTCGGTCGAGAAGTCTTGAAAAACGAAAAAAGACGCGCTGCTACCTGTGACACATCTACTCATTAGGATCCGCTGACAGCAAGCTCATATCTAATGAATGAACTTGAAAGGCATGCCGCATTCAGGACGGAACGCGCCGTGCGCACGCGGGAGAAAGAGACAGACGTCGTACGTTTGTATCGTTGTCCCGCATCATAACATTCGACTCATTATCTGGGCACCACCTCACTCCCGCCTCTTACTTCTCGGGGGTCACAGTTGCTTTCTGGTCGGCATGGTGTGCATTGTTTCAGAGTTCTTTTGTTGTCTTTCGCACTTTTTTGTAAATTTCCCTCTTCGCATCTTTTCCGACAATGTGCAAAGATTGTAGATGTTTGGTGAGTCGCATGAAATCTGCATTTTGCTCAAAATTTAAATATACCTACATTATTTTAACTATAATTTGAAAATACGTGTTTATGAATACTACGGATAGGCGTTTGAGAGGATATTCCGGGTTATTTTTGGTTTTCAGATCATCTAAATTTCTTACACAGTTTTTAAAATGAATCAGTCAATTGGACATACAGAAAACGGTACTTCTCAGTCACGGTTATTTTGATCATTTTCAGGAGTCTGGAACTCGGCTGTAAATTTTTCAATCTCTCTGAAACTTTTGGAGGGTGTAAAACAGACCTAGATTGAAAACATTGCTTCTACAGAATTTTTAGAAGATTCTTAGTTTTTTGGTCATTTGCCGATTCCTGTTATTTCCTTTTTCGGCCCGTTTTTTTAACGGAAAACGTGAAGACAACAGGTGTCTTCCAAAATTGGCAATAACCTGGGAAACTAAGAATTTTTCAAAAATTCTGCTAGTTCAAAGTTTTCAATCTAGGTCTGTTTCATACCCTTCGATTTTTTCAAGTTGATTGGAAACTTGACCAGCAAGCTTAAGACTCCAGAATAGTGCAAAACGGCCAAAAAGCAATTGCAAATTGCGTGTTTTCCTAATTTCGCAAAAATATATAAACTAGTGAACTTTTGATAATCAAAACTTGGAGTTCTACTTATTTTAACAACCCCTAAAATTTCAAATTCAAAAAAAAAACAGTCACGTCTTCTTCTTGATTCTCACACTTTTCCCATGGTTCCTTCTTCTTGTTCTCATCTCCAATCCTTCATTTCTGTTATTCTTCAGTGTCAACCCTTGCTTCCTACGCCATTCTTAGCTTCAAAAGATACCGATCTGTCGTGGTTTTTGCCTATGCCCTTCTCATTCTCCGCCTCCCGCCCTTCATTGCTCCTCTCTCCTCTGCTTCTGCTTTTGCTCATTCATTAATTTGATGTATTTGTGCATAAATTTAAAAACTCGAAGGCGAAAAAGGGTACGCGTCCTTCTCGTTTTCCTCCCTTTTTTGTTTTCACCAACGGATGTGATCCATCTAAATCCTCGTTCTTGAGATTGAAATTTTTTGGGAATCCAAGGAAATGGAGAAGTGGAAAAGTTAAAGAAGAGGATCGCAGCCCGGACAAAAAGGACAGGAATATACATACATAGACACCCATATACTTACACAATTGCCCTGTTGTCGGCAGTAATCCCCGCGGTTTGTTCGGCCCTGTGCCGTCGTCTCAATACTCGCAACCCCTCTTTTCCAACCCGTTAGACTTTTCCTAATCCACGCCTCAATCCCACTGTATTGCATAAACACCGCCATCTACGCCACTCTTCTGGGCTATTCTACATCCAAGTTGTCCTAGCTTACAAATATTCGGAGAGATATTTTCCCTTATTTTCTGACCTTGTTCTCTCACGCAATCGGAAATGTTTGCATTTTCCAATGTTACTGAAGTCTCCTTGGGTCAAACTTCCAAACGGTGACAGCTCATACCTGTGCACACATTCTTCTTCACTTTTGTATTCTTTTGGTTTGGTCACTTTGGAACTTTAGACGTGATTCATGATTCATCCATTCATTCTATTTCTCCAAAGAGCTCGCTTTTACAGTTAGCAAGAAACTCCACGCCCACAGAAAGACCGGTTGCGAAACTTGAGATATTTAAGACTATAAAAAGATCCTGGAAATCCCATAAACTTTGACCATCTCTTCTAGGGAGCATCGTTGTGCCCTCTGGTCATTTTCTTGTGTCCACTTTGCTTCTCCATTTTTTTTGTGAAGAGAGAAAAAAAGGAGAAGAAGATAAGTATGTGGTCATGCAACAAAATCTTATTTCATTTTTTCTCCCTTTTTTACTACGCAATTCCCAATTTTTCCACTTTTCTTCTTTTCCTAACGGACCGAACACACATTGAATTGTGCAACAAATCTTTTTCTACGCCTCCTCTTCCAACTTCCTCGACTCCGCCCACTTTCACGTATTTGCATATATTCCATGAACATCGACGTATATGTATTCCGTATTCTCAACTGAACCCATTCTTCTACTTTCCTCTATTGAGAACTCCTCGGAAACATTGAAAAGTGGTAGGAGAACCCATTAAACACTAATAATAAGTTTCTCGCCCGCGCATTTTTCCATCCCGATCCATCGTCTCCTTCTTCTTCTTCCTCTTTATTTTATTCTACATGCGTGACACGGTAAAAGTAACATAATGTTGCAAATGCATACAAGAATCCGTTCCCTTTCTTTCATTTTCGCACTTTTAACCCTTATGAGTATTCCGAAAAAGTACAAACTCATAGAAATAGATCTCAAAGGACTGTACATAAATTCTAAAATTTTTATTACCTCCGTCCCATAACCTCGACCCGTTTGTGCAGCTGGTACATTTCAACATTAGAAGGACACTGAACCTCAAAGGACACATATTGCGTGTTTCAAGACAAGATTTGATATCTGCACCTGTCATCCTCCATTTTTTGTATTTTCCACTCTAAATTTCGAAAATCTTTCGACAGGTGCTCAACATATGGCGCGATATCTTCATTTTCTTTTTTAGATGAACACGCCTAATAGTACAAACTTTATGGTTGCTGGGTTGGTGGGAAATGAGACTGAAAATTGCACTAATCAAACAGTTTCGCGCATTAGCTAGTTTTTCTTTTTTTTTAGTGATAAAAATGACATAAAGAAGATAAGTAACATTTATTGATAAAATCCTTTGATGCATAGCTCTAATTTAGGCACCTAACAAGCCTTGTAAGCCCAGATTCCAAAGAAAGTTTCAGGATAGGTTAAAAATAAAAATGTCAAAAAAAGCTCGCTCGCCATTTTCAGCCGACTTGTACTAGTTCCAATATCAAAAATCGCCTTTTCAGTGCGAAACGACAATTTTCTTATTTTCTAGTGCGTTTCAAAACATGAAACTAGATGTGTTATACCCAGATTTTCATGAAATTTTAGAATTCAAACTTTTCTCTGAAAAAAAACTTTATTTCCTTTTTTCGAAGAAATTTGGGAAATTCTGAAAAATTCTGAAACAAAAAATTGGTTTTTTCCAGGAAAATGTTTGAAATTTCAAATTTCATTCAATTCTAACTATAACAAAACAATTCTCATGTTTTGAAACGTCCTAGAAGTGGAGAAAATTGCTGCTTTCCTCTGAAAAAGCGAATTTAGGTACTGAAACTGATATAGCTCTGCTGAAAATTTCAAAAGTATCTAGATAGGGTATTCTTGACCCATATTGCAAATTGCATTAAAATCTGGGCTTACAAGACGTTGAGGTTTCCTTGTAAAAAATCGCCCTCATCAATCACTTTCACGCTGTTTAGCCAGTTTTTTTTTCGGTGAGAAAAATGACATAAAGACAAAGGAAGTAAGATTTATTGATAAAAAGTTTGATGTATAGTCCTAACTGAGGTGTCTGACGAGATTTCGATGATATTTTCAGGACAGTTTAAAAATAGCCTATTTAGACACATCTGAAGTTTTTGAACAAGTGACTCATCTTCTCTAAATTGACATTTCCGGTCAGGTTTTTGTTTCATTTCAGTAGATAAGAATTGTAGACAGAGCGATTGGTAGCTTGAACGATTCTTAAGCGATTCTTCAACCCAACACTCAGAAAACAAAGCTGTTTTCTGCTCTTTTGTGCACTTTTTTCGAACTGCTTCCGCACTTTCTAGATTAAGACTCACTAACCCAACAAACCCTTTTATTTCCTTTGGTTTTCACTTTGTCTCGCGATTTTTCTCATTTTCTTTTCTTCTTCTAATGGTCACTTCACTGGAGCAATGACACAAATCTCTGGCGTTTTGCAGAAAAGGAGTGAAAAAAAAGACAAACAACTCCGCTCATTCTTCGCGCATCTTCTTTTTTTCCAGCATTCTTTTCTTCAAGTCCATCATGTTGATATTATGTCGCCCTTCTTTTTTACTAGAATATGCGATGTGGTTCATTTCTTTTTCATTTCTCTACAACGGAAACACTGATTGAGCCTTGGGGCTGACCTTAGCCAACACCACCAGTACAATTAGTCGGTGTTGGGGAGAAGAGACCACCCCAAATAGGCGCCGCCCACTTTTGGACCTCTGCTCCCACAACCCTTCATATGGTCATTCAATCTCTGAGACTCATCAATTTGAAAGGCGTTTATTGGAATGAGCGAAAGCCACGCTTTTCTTCATCGAATCTGTCACTTTTCGGTTTCATCTCGCCCTTTTCCTCTAAGCCTCCTTAGTACTAAATGCTCGCTGATGTGTATAGTGATGTTCACATGATTTTATTATATATTTTGCGTTATATATTGCGATTGCAAATCCAATGTGTGATATTTTCCGAACCTTACCTCAAAAACAGCAACAAAAAAGTGTTTTCATTTCTCTTCCATTTCTCTCACTTTATATTTTATCTAACGCACATTTTTTTCTACATTTTTTACAACACAAGTACACAAGTTCGATAAAAATATAAGGTAGAAAAAATGTCCTCTATCGGCACCCACGCAAAATGCTCATGCTCCTCGCTCCTGAACCACAAGCACTGTTTTTTTCATGCCATGTTTTCATCTCCTCCGTAAAGTAGGCGGTGCTAGAGAGCTAATGTGTTATAACTCCACAACCACAACTTCTCATTCTTATCAGTTCCCCTCTGAACCCTCCCATTTGAACCCCATGGGCTGAACAAATAGTGGGGTCCTTGATAAACAATATCATTCTAGAAACTAGATACCTTAAGTTTATACTTTTTTTTGCAGAAAAAAATGGTTCTCACCTTACTGTGAACCCTAGTGTGAAACTGAATTCTAAACAATAATTGTTTTTGTTTAAAAGTTTCCAACCCCCACAAACTTCCCAATCCCCGCCCTGTTCGCCCCTAGAAAATCAGTGCTCTCTGAAATGCGAATAAGTGCTCTGTTCTGCGCCGAAAGACAGAGAGAATCATCAAGGGAATCGTAAATGTCCCTAATTCATATCGCCACTTTCCTTTCTGCATAACCACACCCTCCTCCGATGCTTCTGTTGTTGTGTCCATGGCAGAAGGGGTCTCCTATGCCGGGAGATGAGCAAATCACGACCCGAATTTTACAACCAACTGACTACCCGTCTCTCTGACAGTTTTAGACATTTGTGTACTAGAGAATCAGAGAGAAAGACAAAATAGTACTTTTGGCATTGAGAGCATGATGTACACCAAAATGTGTTGATAAGACTGAGAGGGACTGTAAAACAGAGGGTACAGGTTGTGAGACGGTTTATTATAATTGCTAATGAATAATTTTGTGTATTGTTTCGTTTCTTTCTTTCGCCTTCTGTGAATTTTCTTTCTGACTCAAAGATTTCAGCATGATGAAACTGGTACTGATTGGCCTTGGTCTTCTGATAGCCTCTAGCACTGCTCAGATTCGGACGAAAGGTGGCACTTTAATTGTAAGTCATAGAGTGCAATGGGTTTTGACCATTTTCAGGTGTCTGTAGCTCGACTATCGAGTTTCTAATTACTTTGAATGGTGTGAGACAAATCTAGATTGAAAACTTTGCATTTATAGAATTTTTGAATATTCCTAGTTGTTCAGCTACTTGCCGGTTTCTAAAGGGCATTCCGTTTTTGCCTGTGAAAGCGTAAAAAGAGTTGTCTTTCAGAAATCAGCAAGGAGCTGAAAAACTATGAATTTTCGAAAAATTCTGTGAATGCAAAGTTTTCAGTCTAGGTCTGTTCTACACCATACAAAATTTTCAAAGCGAGGAAGCTTGACATTCGAGCTCCGCCGGTCTTTTCTGAATTATAAATCTCATTTTTAGGCCAAAGAAGGAGAATCTCTCACATTGCGTTGTGAAGTTGAGGACCCAAGCATTGCAATCATTTGGCGTAAAAACAACGATGTTGTCGCTGTGGACGACGAGATTTTGGATACCTACGGAGGATATGAAATCGCGATGGAAGGATCAGTGAGTTAGAGGGCTCTTCACACTTGATTAGAATCAATGCGGGGATGCCCATAATTAAATTTCCTCCTACCCCGCCATTTCTTTTAGACATCTGTGTTCACAATCAAGAGAGTCGAACCAATCAACTCGGCTAACTACTCGTGTGCATTGGCCGAGCCGGAAGTTAGTGTCACTTTTGTCATCAAAGTGCAAGGTATGTATTTCGAGATACTTGTTAGAGGAAGAATAAAGAAATTGGAATAAATATACATGTGTGATGTCTGATGCCTTGATCCACAAAATCTTCATGGATTGCTTTCATATGGAAAAGTAGGAAGGACAGTTGAATTAAGAATAAATTCCTTATCTAAACTTTCCAGAATTCTAAAATAAAAATGTTGGCTGCTAAGTCAATCTCACTCGCCTTCGCTCTTATTTTCATTACGTAATGCTTCTTTTCTCTCTTCCATTATAAACAGCATCTGTCCAGAAAAATATGAAAGGGCAACTGATTGGCTTAGAAAAACTTACTAACCAAAATAATCTCATTTTTTACAGTCAAACCTCTCGTCTTAATCTCCCCGGACACTGGTGTCTACCACGCTAGAGTAGGAGAAAAGAATCTGGTGATCACTTGCCACGTCAAGGAAGGAAACCCAAAGCCAGGAGTCGTTTGGACCAAACAGGTGAGTGTATTTTTACCTCTCTAATCCTTTTCTAGGTACTAATTACTGTGTAGAGAGGGGCGTACATTGACTCCAATCTTGATCCTATAATTATACTGTTTGGTTTAGGCTGCCAAATTGCCGGAGGATATCAAGAAAGATCATGAGGGCGCTAGACTGGTGTTCCCGGAAGTCAAGAAGCATCACGCTGGAAAGTACAACTGTTTGGCTGAGAACGTCGCTGGAATGGATAGAGCCACTGTCGAAATTCATGTTGCAGGTAATTTTTGAAGAAACGTGTGATTCTGTAATTTTGAGGTGGATTTGTTTTGATTTGAGACGTTTTGGATTTGAAAGTGACACAAGATTGATAGCTTCTATTTGATAATTTATCACGTCTTGCGGCGTGGTAAATGATATGAAAACAACACATGTTGCACTAGTCCATTAGTATCATCTTTATCATCTTCTTCTACATCAAAAATGTTTTTTTCTAATATCAATTTTCTTGACGTGAAGTGTGCCATCAATCACTGATATCTTTTTCAGAGCCACTCCAAGGAGAACGGGAAGGTGAGTACATCGATATCGTCAAATTGTGGAATGTGTTTGTGTTGTGTTTTGATTGTGAAAATGCATCCCTCATGGCAAGATGTTGGTGTCACAACATCTGCCTAAAGAAGGGGGGTGGCCAATTGCTCCCTCAATAGAAGGTGTTGGAACAACAAAAGAGGGGTTCAGTGATGGTCTCCGAGAACCAGCCAGCTGCAATTTATGAACCATCACCCCACCCACCCATCATCCAATATTTTTGTTTATACGAATTGTTCGCTTTACAATAGTGAGCGAAATTAATCCTGTAGAAAGGAAGAGTGATAGATAGTCAGAGGATGGTCTAATTGGAGGCGAGGGATTTCGTTTTGCCATCATCAGCTCATCATACTCTCCAGATTTAGGCTCTAGATGATCCTTCCCATAACTCAACAGATGGTTGATCGAATAGGTGACAGTTTGCGCGCGTGTGTCTGGAGAACGCTTGACAAAATGATGTGCATTTGCGATTATCCGATCCAACATGCCGAACCATATGGAGGTGGCATGGGAAATAGTTCTTTACGTTAAAGAGTAGATGATGGAAGTAAAATATCGAGATTTTAGGAAAAGAAGTCTTGTGAGGGTAGAAAAAAATTTAGATTAGTTTTAACCACTTTTCAGCAAAGTTTAAGAAATAAATTGACAGATAATTCGCAAGATACGACAATTCAGAGAGTAAACAGGGGATAATTTGTAAAAGGGTACTTGAAATTAGAATTAGTCAATTTTCCGATCACTTTGAAAACTACAAAGGGTGAAAAACAGACCTGAATTAAAAACTTTGCATTTTCAGAATTTTTCAGCTATTGGCCGATTTTTGAAATAATACTCTTTTGCCCCGTTTTGCACTAAAACGTGAAAAACAGGCGAACTTCAGAAAACGACCGATAGCTTGACAACTAGGAACTTTTCAAAAATTCTGTGAATGCAAACTTTTAAATCTGACTTTGCTTTACACCATCCGAAGTTTTCAAAACTATCAAAACCTTGACAGTCAAGCTAGACTCCTGAAACTGGTCAAAATTCACGAAAATCCTGAAAAATACGTTGTTGTACAAATTACTTTTATATATATAAAATGGTAGACGCGTCTGCCTGTTCCGGTGTCAGGCTGTACGTTTTTTTTAAAGTTTTAATAGATTTAAGTGGGCCTGTAAAAAAAGGAGAAGCTGAGCAAGTGACCAGTAAAAACTAAATTAAAACGCGCCAAAGGCACACCAGTTTGCTGGTAATATATATTGACCGGTACTGTATATGATTTTCTAGATTCAGTTCTTTTCGGTTGTTACTTTTAACCAACAGTTAAGTAATTAAAGATCTTATCTAATTAACTTTCAGTTTGAGTTCTAATTTTTTACACAAATAAGTTCAATAAATGCGCAAAATTAGCCTAATTCGTACTATCAGCTATCTGAAAACTCGGTTCCTTTATTTTCTCTTACCAGAAAAGATCTTCAGTTCCCATAATATCCACAAACCGTCCTAAAACAAATGATTTCAGAGAAACCATGGGTGAAAAACGAGGACACCTTCATTCCGGTTCGCAAAAACCAAAACGCTTCATTCTGGTGTACTTATGACGGAACTCCAGTGCCGCAAGTCGAGTGGCTTTTCAATGGTTACAAGATTAACGTATGTCACGCAACCCATGACCCCACGAACCATTTCCTTTTCTAAACTCCCCCTAAAACTCTGATGAATAATGCGTTCCCATTTTGCAGTTCAATGACGAGAAGTTCAAGAAAACTTCGGAGACAGCTCAAAGGCTCAATGGATACAGCAAATCGACGCTTACTGTCGGTGACATCACGGAAGAGGCTTTCGGAGACTACGCTTGCCGTATTTCCAACAAACTCGGATCTGTCATCGCCGTGGTGCACGTTAGTGGTGCGTGATGACATTTGACTAATTGCCAATCATTTTCTCGTCGTGTTCCGTTCTGTTCCTCCTCCGGATCTCTCTGGCAAAACGTTGGGAATAATTCACCTGCGGAATAGAAGGGGGCCTTGTTATTTGCACCGGGCCCTGTGGACTCCGTCACCTTTTGAATGAGCCTTCTACCGACAAATTTACATAATGAATTAGTTCCTTAGAGGAAGAGAACATCGGGAGGAGACAGATGACTTACATAAAACTGAACAGAACATGAGGGAAAAATTGGTTGCTCTGTACTAGAAACTCTCACTGAACTCCTTATTTTTCTGATTTTTCTGATTTTTCAGGAAGACCAGGACCACCACAACTTTCGCTGGACGACTCGGAGCTCTCATGGACCGTTAGAGCTTTTGATAAGATCCTTGAATATCAGCTCTGCCACCGATTGGAGAACGCTGACCACTTCTTGCCGGAAAACTGTAACAGTGTCAGAGTGAAGAAGAGTGACAACAACGGAGATGACAAGTGGACTCATACAATTGATTTGCAATCATATCTCGAGCAAGGGCAGAAGTATCATGTCCAGTTGAAGGCTAGGAATGCGTTGGGGTGGGGCAGTATGGCCAAGGATGCGATTAATGTGGAATTGAGAAGACCAGAAAAAGGTAAGAAAGCTGTGCGGATTTTTTTGAATTTTCATATTTAACTCTATTTAGGGCCCAAAATCAAAGGGTTCATCTTGAAAGAGTAGTTCTAAAGTACATTGCATTTTTAGGTACTTTGATTCAGAGGGCTCATGGGACCTTCGTGCGTAGAGCGTTTAATTCTGTATAATTCAGAGCAAAAATCGAAACTCCGAAAAATTATTTCATGTACTCCCATAAATACTAAAAAATACTATGTACACGTGAAGCAAATGTACGCTAAAAACTAGATGCACAGTACCGGACAATAAGATATACAAAACCAGATTTTTTCAGTTGGTTTTCGGTCATTTTGACCTTTTTCAGAAGTCTGTAGCTTGCTGTCAATTTTTGACCACTTTGAAATTTTTGAAGAGTCTAAAACATATGTAGATTTCAAACATTGCATTTACAGAATTTCTTAAAAATTCCTAACTTTTCAGCTACTAACTGGTATTTCAAAAACGCCCTCTTTTGCCTGTTTTTGTACTTGAAAAGTGAGAAAATGAGTGTCATTCAGAAATCGGAAAAAAACTGAAAAATTAGAAATTTTCAAAAAAATTATGTGAATGCAAAGTTTTCAATCTAGATCTGTTTTACATCCTCCGCAACTTTCAAAGTGATTGGAACCTTGGCTCCAAACTACTGAAAATAGTGAACATCAACTGAAAAATGTGATTTTGTATTTCTTATTAACCAGTACTGTAGATTCTGTAGGTGCATTCTAACAATTATTTTTTCTCTAACAATTATTTTTTTTCTAACAATTGATTTTTCCAGAAGAAACCAAATCAACCACCATCATCTCCTGCATTTCATCAGTGTTGGTAGCTCTTCTCGTTGCCCTTCTCTAATGACTCACTTTTCTAGAATTTTTTCCTACCTCTTTCCTATTTTTCCGCCCCACTCTATGCACAGATTTGCCATGCCTTACTTCTAGATCACAAGCCAGATCAAAACACACTTCAAAAATCATGTCCAATATCAGGGTGTACAGTAGAAAGTATGGTTTTTCTCCATCCAAGTTTTCCTCTTCTCCTTTTTTTGCATTTTTCTCAGATTCAAATGTTTAGTTTTGAATATGAGCCGGTGTTCAATATTCCTCTTTCCCCCTATCCCTTCTTTTCTTTCGTTTTCTTCTGTCACTTTTTTCTCCAATTTTCACTTTTCTTCTTCTCTGAAAAAATACTTACCTTTGTGATGATGATGATGATTATTAAAAATAACTTTTGAATCAACCATACTCTCCATACAAATGTCTCCTCTTCCTTCCCAATCCACTTAATTTACTCGGTGCCGTTTCTGAATGTTGTCAGTTTCTTTTTTTTTCCTCTTCCCCATTTACTTTTCCGTTTTAATGTTCAGATGATTATTTATAATTGCCAAATGATTGCAACAAAAAAATGTTCTTTTGATTGGTTTTATGTTTGTTTTGAACTTCTGAAGACCAATTTTTTTCTAATTTTAATTTGAACCGGTTCCGTCTGCCAAAATTGGATCAAAATTGAAAACAAAATTTGTTTTTGACGGTTTTCGATGTCTCAAAAATTGTCTCAAAAATTCCATCAAAACATCAAGGCAAACATTTTTTTCTGCCTAGCCGGAACGAGTATTTCGAAAAAAAAAATTTATCAAAACTTTTTTTCCGGCCTCCTGCTGTTAGTTTTCATTGTGATGATAACAATGATAACATAAAGAAAACTATGCATAGCATTCATAATGCTGTAATAATTTTTCAACCGTTGATGGAAATGGCAAGAAGACACATTCACTTTCTTACACAACAAAAACTATAATGAGGGTGTGTACGGGGGTGTAAGCATGATGGGGCAGAAAAAGAGGGGGAAGAGAAAGCAATTATTGATGAAGAATTGCGAATTTGAAGAAAACGACAGAAGAAGACGTCCGTAGCGAAAAACGATAAAAATGGAAAGTGAAAGAATTTCAAGATAATTCTACAGATAAGCGGGGTGTTCTTCTCTCACTGTCCTAATCACTCAAACGACCAATAAATCTTGGACAAGTGCCAAGATCGCTATTGTTACACTTTGAACATAAAGAACAAAAGATGAGGCTTTCTCTCTCTAGTTATAAGGCACAAAAGTTACTGGTCATAAAAATTTGAACTTGAGATTATCTGAAAACAGTTAAAGTGATGAAAATTCTGCAATTTAGGACCAACTCGTAAAAACCAAAAAAAAAAAAAAGATTTGACCCAGGCAGGGCTCGAACCTGCAATCTTCTGATTAGAAGTCAGACGCCTTATCCATTAGGCCACAAGGCCACGAGAGAAACAGTGTTTCAACGATAATATAGAATACAAAGAAGAGGTAGAAAAGAAAGAAATGAGAAAAAAACTTACCGGAAAAAAAACCACCGATGCATCGGAAAGATAAAACACTTTTAAATTATGGGCCTGTCCGATGTATGCACAGGAGATGATTTTTTTTCGATTTTTTTCAATAAAACACAGTTAAATGTATCTATTTTTAACGTTTCACTTTGTGGTTTTTCTTCTTTTTTGAATAAAAATTTCTTTTCTTATCATGATTTTTTTTCAATATCTAAGAGCTGAAATAAACAGAAAACATTTCAGCTTGTTTTGAAACTTTAACTGAACATTTGAGCTACTATACTTCTCAAAAGTTTGAAATCAAAATTTTCGTTTTACATACTAAAAACTATTTTCGTTCACAAACGTTTCAAACAGATGCCTATAAAACAATAAAAAAATTCAAAAAAGATTTGACCCAGGCAGGGCTCGAACCTGCAATCTTCTGATTAGAAGTCAGACGCCTTATCCATTAGGCCACAAGGCCACGAATGTCTTTTTTCTCTTTTGAGTATAAGTGTCAACAATTCCGACTCGTTCTCTTTTACTCCATTCTCCCACTGTCTTGAAAGTGAGGCGAATAACGAAATACTACGTAGAGCAATTTTACACAAAACCTGGTGGAGACAGGAGAGAAAAAATTGAAAATCAGTGAAAAATTCGTTCTACTGCAGTTTGGTTTTGCAATTCAGTTAAAATTACTCATGTTTTTGCAATGCTAGTGTGACGAACCCATTTTTAGTGTTACACTTATAAGGCACTCTGCAAAATTTGGAAGTTTGAAATAAATTAAAAACACATTCACCGAATTATGTCAATGAAAAACCTATATTCTTGGGAAACCTTGGAGAACCACTTCGCCGAAATGTGACGCAACAAATTTAAAATTTCCGTATTCCGGTAACAGGATCATCTCTTCTTGGTTGTTATTAAATAAAAAAGCATACGAAAGAGTGAAATAAACCAAAAATCACTCGTTGGCAGAAAAAGTTGGTTGACTATATATTTTGATTGACTATATACCCCATTTTGAACAAATCCCAGAAAAAGAGTTTTAGAAATGCAACAAATCGTCTCATAGAAGGCCCTTGATGACCATCAACTTTGTTCCGTTTTATCTTGGTCCCTGTAAATGATTCCAAAAAGTTTTCAACAAATGAAAAGTTGCTGACATAATGATGAACGTTTTGTTAGTTGACCATTTTTTGATATCTTCAACAAGAAACAGAAAAATTTGTTTTTAAATTCACAGTAGGGGAAACTCTTATATCACAGGTTTTTACGATATAAGCCCTCGAGAAGTTGAACTTGTGGGACCAACAATATGCCAAGTGAACACTAATTACAGTACACCGTCACGTCAATACCGTAACTCCAAGACACCTCTAAATAATCTTCTTCCACTACTTCAAATGACTGTTTATTAGAACATCTGCACCACGTCTTGCTGGAATTTTCGCATCTGTCTGTTCTTATCTGGTCATTTCTAAAGTCCAATTCCAGAAGAGACTAAAAAGTCATCGTGTCCGTCTTTGTTTCAAGACGAACCCGGACTTTCACTTACTCAAACCTAGCTTCTCAACCGTTTCGTTTTTTGTGTCTTGTATGTATGTCTATTCTCTTCAAAAAACCGTGACCTTTGTTTCCTTTCCGAATTTTCGTAACGCCTTCTCCTTCAAAAAGTGTCTCGGTTGAGGGGCGGCGTCACGCACCGGACGACCGATGCCATCAAAGAAGAGACAGGTCGGACACTTGGACAAAACCGCAGGGCATCATCACCGCCTGATCACATCACTTCTCATTTCGGCACCTTCCACCCACCCAGAAGAAGAGATATATATCCCCTCTTTGTCCTTCTGTTATCCAAGTCAAATCGCATTTTCCTCATGATTCGATTAATCTCCGTTGCATTGCTTTCCCTTCTAATCGGTCAGTTTATGATTGTTTGGCGTAACGAAAATAGTATCCTTGGAACATTGAACTTTGGAATATTGAGAGGAATCACTCATTGAGACTCCAGAAATGAGCTATATTCGTACTGTAGCAATCAAATATCAGAGCTATATTCGTACTTAGCAATAAAATATCATTCAATATTAATTTTTTTAGCTTTCTCCAGATTTTAGTTGGTTTGAATATCGAGATAGCTAATTAGAATACCGTAATGCGGAAAAAAATATTGCAACAAAACACAAAGATCAGCTCAAAAATGCAAATGAAACAAGTTTCATATAAGCATGTTTCAAACCGATCACTGTTAACTGGAGTCTCATCTTAGCTTTGAAATTTTCCAAAAGAAATAAATCCAAATTTTTAGCAAATGTTGAATCAACACCATGCACATTTGTCACCAATGGGCAACAAATCACTTATGGTGTTCGAGGAAACACAATTCACTTCCGTGTTGTCTTGACAGGAATCGCTCCTAATGGATCTGGATGGACCGCTATTGGATTCGGAAATAGCATGGTAGGTTTACAGGTTTTCTCGAAGTGAGATTATTTTTGTCCTCCTAGACAGTCTGATTTTGCTTTCATCTAATTGCAAAAAAACGTTCTTTAATTTTTTTCACGGTCGACCAAAAAAAACCCAAACCAGTAAATCAGCGCAGTCTCTCTCGCCACGCGGGTATTTACTTTACAGCGTACTTCGAATTTAAGAAAGAAACTGCAAGTCGTTTTTCATCACTAATCTAATTTGAACTGAAATGCGGCCAATTAGAAACAAAGCAAGTCAAGTTCACAAAGATCATTCGAAGCGATGCTAACAGTACAGTAGTACATAAAAGTCTCCTTTTAGTTCTCTGGTCTTGATGTGATTGTGGTTCGTGTTCTGAATGGAAGAATTATTGTGACCGATGAGTTTGTGCGTGGATTCCAGTCGCCGGTTCCGGATAGGGTAATTGGAAACAGAACTAAAATCCAGACATGAGGGGAAATTTTCAGCAAAACAACGTTCAAGTTTATGGACTTCGTTATGAGAATGGTGTGGTCGTAGCTTCATTCTCAAGATCCGTGTTCTCTACCGAGCAAACGGATGCTAATCTTTCGGGATGCTCTCCATGGAAGGTAAATAGTGATAAATATAGAGTTTGAATCTGTACTAATTTTGATATAGAGCGTATCCCATCGCTTTGGTTTGTCTGGGGAAAGTTTTAGTCTAAGGATAATGTTCCGTACTAAAAAAATCATTTCTAGCATCAAAATTGAGCTAGCAAGGGAACCTCAACCCCTTGGAAACCCATAAAATTCTGGGATATGTCAGGAATTGAGTATCTAGGCATTAGGGATAATTTTAGGATCTTATCGCGTTTGTTTCAGTCGTGTGATGTGCATTTCAGTATATAAAATTGCCAATGCATTGAAAATAGCAATTTTCACTATTTCCTCAAATTCTAGGACGTTGCAGAAAATGACATTTGTTTTGGTATGCTTTGACATGAACAAAATTTTATAGTTCAGGCATTCTCTAAGAAAAATTTTTTTAACTTTCCAAAAAATATGGAAAATCGTGGAACATTTCGAAAATTGAAAAAATAGTTTTCGAGAAAAGTTTTGAAATATGGAGTTCTATGCAATTCAGTGTGAAACATAATAAATTTCGTGTTCTGAAGCGTTCTAAAAGTTTAGAAAATCGTCCTTGAATATTGTTGTTTTGCACATATTAGGCGGTTTTTAGTACTGAAACTCATATAACTCTTCTGAAACCAGTGAGTGGATTCTAAGGTTTTCAGAGATGAAAATTTCCTGAAAGTTTTATGAAAATCTGGGTTCACAAGGTGTGGTTTTTCTCATATAAAAATCATCTGAATAATTTTCGGAATAACGAAATAGCCAAAACAACTTTTAATAACCTAAATTTTCTAAAAACCCAATGTTTTGCAGTTCACTGTCGGTTTGAATCGTATGAGTCCTCAAGGCCATCTTTTCCATCACTCCCAAACACCGGTTCATCGTGTGGTGTGCATCAATCAGTGCACTGTCTAACTCGAAACTTGCATCTATTATGTCCCTGATCTCCTCACCTATGCTGCTGTGCATCAAACCATCCCAATTTTCTCTCTTCTTTTAATTTCTGATTCCGAAATGTTTTTTGATCTGATTATCCGAAATGTTTCTGTACTTTCTTTCAAGTGTATGTGTAAAAAATATCAGTCATTTATTATTTGTTCACAGATTGAGAAAAAAATGCAAGTTCGGAAATCCGGGGTTTGAAATTTCAAGGAGCAGATAGAGATCTTAAGACCAGAAAGTTACCCGGAGGTAAAATAAAAAATGCATTTTGATTTGACAGAGATGCTTGAAAACACAAGGAACTAAATTCACAAATCCCAACTGAACAAGTGATGCTTGATAAGCATATCAGTGACACCTTGTTTCAACGGTTCGTCTCCATTTTGTTTGTCTTGTGAAGATGACATAACCGTCGAGAGAATCTTTTTCTTTTGACTGGTGAGTAGCTGCAAAAAGTTAGGTACAGAGATTGCAAACTTTACGACTTCTATATCTTATTTCTCCGACTTACCCCATTTACAAACTTCCTCTTTTTCTTGTCAATCCCCTCGATTTCAAATGACATGCTAAGGTTGAACGAGAATTGACTCAGAAGTCGTAGGTCACACTTGATTTGGCGCCATGCCGGTGATCGTATGAATGCCCAACTGTGGTAGTATTTATTTCTGATGTGTTCGTGTTGTGTGGCGGAACAGAGAAGGTCAAACCAGAGATGGAGACATTGCTCGTTGACCCCGACGACAAGAAGACTTCTGAAACAAATTTGAAGTGGAGAAAAATGATGGTAAAAAATTGTTACAAAAGCATTTCGAGAAGAAAGAGGGGGGGGGGGGGGGGGGAACTTACCTTAGTTTTACATCAGAATGCGCTGATACGGCGTTATGCGAATCATTGATAAGTTGAACTGATCGAAAGAGAAGTTCTTCTGGGGTCAAGATCTGAAAGAATGTGTTGTTTGAAGTTAGTGAATGTAGTGTTTTGCTTCCCGATTGAGGGAATAGAAGTAGATCATAAAATAAACACAAAAGCTTGTATTTCATGATAGAGAAGCCGACAAAAGATATAAATCAACATATTTTCAGTGGGTTTCTGGCCATATTGGCCTATTCCAGTAGTCTGGAGCGCGGCTGTTAAGTTTCCGATCACTTTGAAAATTTATGAAAATGTGAAAAACAAAGTTGGATTGGCAACTTTGCGTTTATAGAAATATTCCAAAAAATTGCTAGTTTTTCAACTACTTGCCGATTTCTGAAAGAAGGTTTTCAGTACAAAAACAGTCTGAAAGGGGTCTCTTCCGGAAATTGAGAAATAGCTGAAAAACTTGACATTTTCAAGGAATATATGAATACAGCCGAACTCCAGATTCCAAAAAATAGTCAAATTAATCCAAAATCAACTGAAAAATATGTTGCTGTACATCTGGTTGACCGGTACTGTACAGTAAGATTTCTGACAGTAAGCGATGCCTTTGCATGCCAAAGATTCATTCCAATACAAACAAAATCCGAATTGTGAAAGAGAAACTCCGTGGAGCCGTGGCCGAGAGTCCCACAATGACAACTACCGTAACCTAAACAAGTATCAATTATCTAGAGTCGTTAACTTGTTTTTCACTGCTTTTCGTCAAGTTTTCTATTATTTTTGTCTAGAAAATCTGAAAATAATACTTTTTGTAATGAAAAATTGACTGAAAATGCACCAAAATCAAGATAATATGGCCGCGGCCACCGGCGATTCTCACATACAGCTTCGATTTTTTGTACCAGAATAATAGTGAGAACACATTTTGAAATTTTAGTTCAGTATATGCCTATTTACTCAGTGTATCCAGTAACGGGAAGTAAAATTCCCAACTCACTTTTCCATCTTCATCAAGATTGAACGTATTACACAATGTCAATCTTGAATAAACCGAATTGAAATTCCTCTCCACAGAATAATATGCAATATCCTCAATGAACGACCATGGATGGTAAGCCATTGCAATGTGCAGCACATTCTCTCGAATCCCGTGGTCCATTATTTGTCGAAAGCTATTAGCTAATCGTCCTCGTATATATTCTGTGATCTCGGGTGACACGGCTTCATCTCCATAAATCGTGTAGCTCTTTCCTCTCTCATCAACCACTTCAACAAATTTTGCGGGAAACCAGCCGCGTAGTCCATTGACCTCGCCCACCCAGCAGTGCTCGTCCTTCTCGCTAATTATGGTGATGATGTCGTTTTTCCTAAAAAGCCATTAATAGAAAATGAAACTCATATGTGTTATTTATGAAACTCACCTGAACCCAAGCTCATTCTCCTCTTCTCTGGCAAAATCTAAAAGAGCACGAGCTCTTTTGGCTCCGACACGACGGCCTTTCAAGTAATTGGGAATATCCTGGTTGTGACTTTCCGGACTATAGTCTGCCTGGAAGATTGTCATTGTGAAAAAATCGAAATTGCAATAACTGTACCTGTGTGCATACATTCAACTCCATTTTCTCATCACAAGCAACAAAATACCGACAAATTTGCAACACTGACTCTTTGAGATCCACTAAAATTTCAGTTTGACGAATGTTCTTGCTTTTTGGATCATTTCCACTCTGCAATTTTGAAAAAGCATGAATTGTGAAATCTGGAATCTGGAATCTAAAATCACACCTCATCTCTAGAACTAAAAATCTGTTTGATAATTGACTTGGACCTAGTCAATTTTCTTCTTTGAGTTGTTTGCTTTGGCAAGTTGGTATCAGTCGATGTGTTCACAATCATTCCCTGATCAGCCATCAAAACGGCTTGATGTTTCTTGCGTAGCTCTGCGATTAAGTGGTCAGTGATTGTGAATTCGAATGAGCCCATGTATTCGATAACTTTTTCCACTTCAGTAACCTGAAAACCATTTTTAATAACAAAAACGATATAGTTGGCAAGTATTACCGATGCCGGCAGCTGACTCAACGCTGTGAAAATATCCGCTGACGATTTTGTAGATTCCGCAATTTCTACTATCTCCTGTTCTTTCATTTTCAAAATTGAGATCATTACTCGGAAAATATTCACACTTCCCGAATAAAATATGAAATCCCATACTCTCAATAGCACTCGAGTACGAAACACCGAACCGAATAGAGTTAGCAGCCAGTTGACAGTCAGAAGCGATATCTGAAATTTGATCAGTTGATCAGAAGACACAAAAAAATTGTACCTCAACGTCGTAGTCTTCAAGTGCTTTGTTCAAATCTGGTACATGGCACCGCATCAGGTGTCTAGACACTCGTTCATCGGCTTGTAGTCCTAGAAGGGTTTGTGTGTAGAAGTTGGGAGGCAATATGTCTTCTATAAGAGCGGTCATCATCCAAAATGTGGTTTCTTCAGAGCAGTACAGTAGAAGCGTCGCCACAATTATACCTGGAAATGAAATTTTGGATAGAATTGTTGATTGTATAGAAAACCGAAGTTGTGAAAGAGAAAAAGTCGTGAGCGTGGTGAGCAATCTTCATAACAAAAACCACCGTAATCTAAAATTTCTGGTCCGGAAAATAAAAAATTTCAAAGTCTAAGAAATTGTCTGAAAACGGACAAAACTTGAAAAAACATGAAAATGAAAACTATTTTCTTATAATATTACGGTAGTTCGGCCCTACCCGCGGTAACCAGACATTCTCTTCCACAGCTCCGATTTCTGCCGAGCAGCATAATAGCATTCCTTACCCATTCCTTGGCAATATCCCAGATCAGGATAAATGAACGCAACACATTTCAGAATCCGTCTCAAAGCTTCGACTCCCTCGGAATTTTTCTTCCAAAAACAAATATTATTGGGTTGAGTTCTCAGAAGATCTCTTTCAATTTGAACTCCTAAATAATGACACTCCTTTATCTATATTATTACCGCAATTCCCACCAATTGAAGGCTTATCCTGAGCACACTGTTGCAGCACACTCTCGTATGTGTATTTCGCTTCACTCTGTTTCTTCGTGGCCCCACAGAGACGAGGCCAAAGAAACGGACGCATCGAATGCGGGATGCCGCCATCTTTAAGCAGCTCTTCAAATCTATCCGTTTTTAGTTCGGGCCCATCGATGTGCGACCACAAGACGTCGCCTTTCACTTCCTTGTGCACATCTTGCAGATATGAAATTAATTTTAATCTGCAATGTATTTTTCTTGAGACAACAAAAAAAATAGTCTCTCACTTATGACCACTGTCTTCCAGAGGAGATGCAGCATTATTACGTTTTTCTTCATCATCAGAACTTGGATCATGATCATCTTCCTCTTGTTTTCGGAAACCAAATTCATCGAAGCTGGAAATTTTCATGCAGAACTGGAAAAAACAATAGAAACTCACTATTCATGTGGGTCTTCGATATAAATCGGAAGCATGGCCTTGTTGATTGCAGAGAACGCTTTTCCGTCCAGTTCGAAGTGGGATGCATGGATTTCTTGGTCTTTCTGGAAGCAAATTTTTTATTTTTAAAAAACCTGGTTATGATTCTAATCAAGCTCAAAGAAAGTTAAGAGTACGACAATAACAAGAATTGTTTCGCTATTTTCTAATTGGGTAGATCACAATTTTACTTGGCCAGATCAAAGGATAAATTTTAAAACATAACAGAAAAGTTTGCAAAGGATTCTTCAAATGTATCCCTTTTATTTTTCTGTTTCGTCTGTTGTGCTCTGTGTTTAGGAGTTCAAGTGACGTCATTTTTCCATTTCACGCACCTCTTTAGTATGCTCCGCAACCTTTCTAGCCATAGGATAAACGTCGTCGTCATCTGCAACGACATCTGCGTATTTCGCATCTTTTCCTGAAAAAGAAACAATATTCGAATATGCCATAAATATAAAGCTGAGCATTCCGATAGACTGAAAATCATAATCCCGTTAATAACCAGTTACAAGACATTTGCGCTCACCTTTCTTATACTTTGCCATTATCTCCTTTTAAGTTTTAGTCGTCCACGTGAGCAAGAGAAATAGTCAAATGAGAGAAAGAGTGTAGTATGTTAGTGTGTGGGGAAGAAAGAAAAGGTTCTTCTTCTCGCTGCTTTTTCCGTCTCTTCTAAATGAGAGCACGCCGGGAATGGGCAGAACTGGAGAGAAGAAGATAGCGGGAGAAGAGAGAAAGAAAAGAAACGAATGCGAAAAACGGAGAGAAAGCGACGAAGTGTGGAAAAGACGAAGAAGACGGAAAAGAGGAATTGAAAGAAAACGAATGCTCAGCGAGCATATTTGCATGACGAAGATGTCCTTTTTGAGAGATGAATTTGAAAATTTTAATTCCAAAAAAAATCAATATATTTCATTTTGAAACTTGTGGAATGAATCAATTGTTTTTTTACATATGAATCAAAAATAAGATTTTGCAACAGGTCAGATTTAGAACTACTCTGAATATTTTGCGTGAAATAGACATAATGCAGTTTCAATGAAACCTCAATAAATTCTAATTTGACAAAAAATTTGCCATGGTCCTCCTAGCGCTTAGAAAAAAAATAAAGCTGAGAATCTGAATATTTAAAAAAAAATACGGAAACTTGGCGAAAAAAAAGTTCACAATTAAACATTTTAAGAAAATAAGTTATTTTTCCAGAAGCGCTTTTTAGAAACTTGGGTTGGTCTTGAAAACCGAAGATTTAGCAATGAAAATTGGCTAGAATAATTTTCTCACATGAAAATGATTGTTAGGTAAAGCTGAAAACGGGACGTTTTGTTTACATTGAACACGTAAACTGAAATTCTGACCTGACATGAGTTTATTTCACAAATCTGAAATCAATTAATAATTTTTGAAAATTCACAAAGTTAAGTACAAGTCACAAAATGTGAAAAATTTAATGTCTCCGTTTCCGAGTCTCTGGCGCCTTACTCCCATATATGTGACATTGTTTGGTAGCCGACTTCATCATTCTAGAATCTGCAGAGCAGTTGAAAGCTTTTTGGAATGCTGGATGTTGAGCAACTACATTCACCCTGACATTGTGGGCAGAATGACCTTCATATAATCCATCGTCTACAAAACTCACGCTAGAAGGCGTTCCCTAAATATTGATGAAAAATAGGAAACTGTTAAAATTGGAAATTTCTTACACTACAAAACGACATTGCGTAGGAGTAGAAAAACGATTGCTCATAGGTCATTTGAAGACGTTCAAACTTGTCCTGAAAGTATTTTTGAAGCGATTCTCAATCAATTTTTCAGACACCTACTGTTATCTTAGAACCATAATAGTCTTGCAGAAGTTTGTATGCCATATGGACACCAAAAATATCTGCTCCGTTTTCATCTAGGAACTCGAATGAAGTTGCGCATGATGCTTCTTGAAACTCTATGCATGTTGAATTAAACTGATTTTGCACACAATCTTGAACAGATTTTGAAAAGTAGGGTAGCAATTCCAGTCGATCATGGTTGTCGAAAAATGTGTGACCCACCTCATGCCCTACAGTTGTTCCTGTGTACCCCAGCTGAAATGTTTCCTTTTTTCTTCAAATTTTAAATACGGAAAGTTACTTTTGTTGACATTTCCCGACCATGCTGAAAATGGTGATAATTTGGAAAACCGAATGCAACTGATGGATGAAAATTGACACCATTGTCAGCTTGACTAAATGAGAATGGCTTGAGATCAGGGAATGTAGTAGTTCTGGCTCCAATCAGGAAACAAAACAGATCTGCGTGTTCGACAAAGTCGAACATAGTTTTGCACAATACAAATGATTTTTCAACATTGACTAAAGTGTCAACGGCAAGCTGAAAATCTTTTCCATAGTTATCATGGATTTGCAGTTGGGAAGTTATGTTTTCAATTTTAGCAACGACATGTTCATTTTTCGCCCAAGGGGTTTCCTGAAACTCTTGAGATTTTTTGATTCAGGAACCAGAAAGCTGACCTTGACAAGATTTCCAGCCGCTTCCACTATCAAATTGACTAATTCCCTAACGCCATATATTCCTTGTCTAACATCTACATCCAAATGGACCCTGATATTTTTCAGGAGAAAGATGAAATCCCCAATGTGTAAATTAAATCCGAAGGCTAAGTTCCACTGAAAATGAAGTTTTTTTTTTGCATTATCACACAACTTGAAAAACATACAGTGCGAATTTGATTTTTGGATAAGTTTTCGATAATTTTTTCTTTTAGTTTAGCCGCGGATATTTTACAATCTTCTCCGAACAACTCTCTCTTCTTCTTATAACCTTCATATACTTTTTTGTTTGGATACGTTGAGAGAATATTGAATATTTCAACCAATTCCGGGACCATCTCATTCCGTGTTTCGCAACTATTCGAGTAATTGTTAATCATATGTTTATGATTTTAATATTACTCACATTTTTATGAAAATATCCTGATAAAAATCAGCTGCAGACTCATCGCTTCCTATCAATGGATACATTTTTTGCAAGTCGAAATTATTCTAAACCAGAAAAAAATTTCAAGAATGAGCAAAAACTCCAACTCACATAAATTTCTAACTTGTTCCAAAAAGAATCATTCTGAAGTTTTTTCGCATATTCAATTATGTTTTCAAGAGAAGCTTCTATTGGATTATGCGGACTATCGAACGAACAGGCATGACGATAAAAGTTATCACAAGGATCTACACTGTGGTTTATATATCTGAATATCTACATTGTTCATTTTGATCCACAACATAGACAACTTACTTCAAAATGGCATCTTCTATGAAATCAAATGGTTCTGGACGGTCTAGAGCATAACATGACACAAAAACTGCAAATAAAAGAATTCTCATTTTTCTCCTCACTTTTCATATCAGTTCGTAGTTTTTATACCAAGTTACTTCTTTGTTATTTTTTTTAGTAAAGAAACAATAAAGGAACGAAAAAGTAATATCATACCAAGTAATTGTTAGTATGGTACATAAAACGTTTTGCGACTAGTCATCTTTTTGACTCGAAAAATGAACAATATACAGCACAAACGATAGGTTTACACTCCAAGTTTCAATGTTTAGACTTTTAATATCCCAAAAACGGGGTACGTACTAAGAATGAAAAAATAAAATTTCTGGTTCGAAGCTTCGCAAATTATAAGTTTACGCTAAATTTGACATGTGAGTTCTTGTTTGAAAAAAAAGTACTATTGTAAAACTTCAAAAGAATACCAACCTTAATTTTGATGAAACGTCTGGATGGCTGATAGTCTCTTTTTTGGTTGCTAAAAATGTTGAAAAAAAAATCACCGTTTATCCTACAGTAGTTACGTAGATATCCGAGTTCTGGTTTTTTTTGAATTCCGAAACTTTTCCAGTATTCTAAAAAGTTGACAAAATTGTAGAACTATACCTGAAGTCCGGACCCAATCATTATATAATTAAGAAAAATACTTCAATGGGTGATTATCTGAACAAAATTCAGATCGAATTAACACTAGCTTTCGTATACTTTCTATTTTTCTATATTTCGCATCATATACGTATACATTTTTGTTTATTTTCTGCTATGTGAAAATCGTTCCTTCACCTAATCATTTCATCTGGTCCACTATATCTTGTTTCCCATCAACCAGGAGCAATAAAAACGGACAGTAACCTTATTTTATCTACACATTATACAACCCCCTTCACCTCCGGTACTATGACAAATTATATGTCATCTAGCCAACTTCCCAGGAGCACGCGTTTCATCAGGTGGGATCGCGCACCGTTAGGGGGGCGGGGGAATCAGAAAAAGTGGGCGGGGCTAAAAAACCTGTATAAGTCCGGGAAATCGTTATCCCTCATTCGAGTTGTCTTTATCTCCGTTCTGAAATATTCACTGACAATGAGCTCTATTACTCGTCCAGCTGCGACTATGAACGATGCCCTTAGAATGCTCGCGTCTAATCTCCAGTCTGATTACAAAGTCAAGGCAACATTAGAGCTGCTCGCCACTAGATACATCATGCATCCAGGTGCCAAAGACGCCGCTAGAAGACTAGTTGCCTTCTGTAATAGACTTGAGAAGTCTGCTGTTGCACCACCAACCACAACTGTCATCGGAATCTCCAGGAAGCGACCGAACACAGATGCCATCGAGAACCTGATTTCTTGCAAAGTGGTTCACTCCGATCGTGTCTGCACCAAAATCAAAATCACCTACCGCTACAAAAGAAGGACCAATGCAACGTCTACAATCTAGCTCAACTCAAACAACTCGCGATGACCAGAAGAAACGAGAAGAACGCATCGCCAGAAACTTCCAGAGGAGAAAAGCTGTTGAAGCTGCTAGAATCAAGGATTCGGAGGAGAAACGTCGTCGCCAGCTGATTGCCATCGAGGAGTACAAACAACAACGACTTCAAGCAGTGCGATTTGAAGGATCAGACTTAAAAGAGAACCAAAAACCGATCAAACCGAAGACGGGACGTGGAAATTGCTTCAAACGCCGCTTTTAATAATAATTTCCTCTAATTTTTTTGTTCTCTCTCTTTCATATTAATCTAACGTTTTAATAAATTAATAACTTCAAACAACTGTTTTTTATAGCACATTCTAAACCAAAATTTCAATCTGAAAACTTTTTTCCCGAAACCTACCCAACGATGGGTTTTTTGAGTATTTAATATTTGAATCCAGACTTCGCTTTTACTTTCGAAGTTTTGTGATTTTTTTTGAGCTACTGTAGAAGCTTCGGTTTCTGAGGTTCTCAAATGAATCATTACGTTTATTCACAACAAATAAATTAAAAAAATCACTAAATACAAAGTCGTAGAATTTGTCTGAATTTCACAACATAGTCGTGGATGCACAATAAAGCAGCTGATAAAAATGGGACAAATTGATGAGAATTTTCTTTACACCCGGTTCTTGTTTCTTGTCATAACAACAAGCATAAATATATTAAATTATACATTATTTTTTTTCTATGGGTTTGAATTCATTGTGATGAAGATGATCTCACAACCTCCGAAAATTTTGATTGGAGGGCCAAAGTAGTTGACGCCAGCACTGACATACACGTAGGTGTCCGTTTTCTTGTCGTAGTATTGACCCCTGAAATATTCATTATTATTTTTAGTTCTTTCACGGTACCGGTTAAAACATATTTTTAGTATATTTTGGGAATTTTAAGCGTTTTCAGGAGTCTGGAGCTCTGGTGTCAAATTTTCGATCACTTTCAAAAATTTGGAGAATGTAAAACAGGTCTAAATTAAACTTTTTACTGTCACCAGTTTTTTTTTTATTTCCCGTTTCTTCAGTTTTATGCCATCAAAAACTTTCAAAGTCAAAGTGATCGTACATTTGACAGCCGTGCTTCAGATTTTTGAAAATGGTAAGAATGGCTAAAAATAAACAAAAAATTTTTACTTTTTTTTGAGAAAAAATGTTTGTGTACCTTCCGGTAATTTTGGTTATCGTACTCACCTCACAAAAGCGTTTGCAATATGGACAATTGGCACAAATGGATACATCTGACCTCCATGAGTATGACCGGACAGAATTAGGTTTACTTTCTTGCTCAAATTTCTGTCATTAAGTACCACCTTTGCCGCATTCGGTTGGTGAGCAAGAAGAACATTAGTGGAATCAGATTCACACGTTGATAAAGCCTTATTCAAATCCATTCCATGACCAGGAACATGAGCATGAACAGCATAGATATCGTCAGCGCCTGCCATGCACATCTGTTGTCCATTTATCGTAATATGCTTATTTTGGTTGTGAAGTATCTGGAACAAAAATTTTAGAAAAATAATTTCGGTTGTTATCATCTTTTTATAAAAGCTAACCGTTATATTGCAATTTTCCAGGAACCAGAACCATTCTGTGACGTTTCCATGCATGTACTCATGATTTCCTGTTGCAAAATAGACACCTCCTGGAGCTTTCAAATTGCACAATGGTTCAGCGGCTCCATGGAAGTCTCGAACAAGTCCGTCGGCAAGATCACCAGCAATAGCGATTATGTCTGAAGACGAGATATGTTGAATGAATCACAGTTTTCCAGTTTACCTGGCTTCAGAGCATTCGTCATCTCTACTATCCTTGCGATTCTAGTCCGTCCCACAGATGGACCGATGTGGATGTCAGATAGGAGTGCAATCGAGACATTTCCACCGCTTGTTTGGAACTTCTAAATGAATTATTATAAGTCAGCAGTAGAAAGATATGTTGAGTATAATTTGGAAACTCTGAAGCATAGAAGGGATAAGTACGATGCTAAGTTTTTTAGAAAAATGATCGCAGGTCGGAGAAATATAGATAATAGTTCTTATTTTAAGATAAATGCAACAAAAACCCGTAGCCAACGCACATACTTTTGGAAGGTTCCTAAAACTAAAGTTAAAAGAACCTTTTTCACAAATAGAGTGCTCAGTAAAATGGTAAATTCCACAAAAAATGGAGTTTGAAGACGCTCTCCGACAGACGTTGTTTGATTTGATTTTTGTTCCCCTGATTGATTATTAATAGTAGCATTAGTTTTTTTTTCTTTTTCTATGTCACCCTACCCTCCCCTCTCCTTATTTTTTTTCATTTTTTATCCATGTTTTTTTAACGTAGTGAATTCAATTCAATTCAATTCAATACGAGACGTACTTAGTTTGGCTCTTTCCGGGAAGAACGGTCCCAAAGCGGGACCGTCGGTCCCATCATCGGACCGCAGGTCCCAACGAATTGCGACAACGGTCCCATTGTTTCGACAACAATCCCATTGTCCCGACAACGGTCCCAACGATCCGACAACGGTCCCAAGGGTACGACAACGGTCCCAACCAGGCTTAATCTGGAAACCCTATTGGAAAAATCGGAAATTGTAATTTTTGTTTTGAAAATGAAACACATTTCAACAATAAAAACGAAAAAAAAAATTTTTGAATATAATTGAGAATTCCAGCACCTTTTTACTCGAATTTTTCAGAGTGTATTTGGTTCATAATTATAGGCGTAGGCTGAAACGCCTTGTTCACATCAGTGCCGGAAAATAGCGTTTTGGCCTAAGCTTACAATACAAAAAACCTAATATTTTGTGAAAATCCCTGTCAAAAAGTACTGAAATTCCCAAGTAAAATGTTAAATTTTCCACTGGATTTTTGAAAAACCATTCCGTTTTCTCTGTATTTCGGGAATACGGCTTCCAGATTAAGCCTGGTTGACCGTCGTCGTACTCTTGGGACCGTTGTCGGAGCGTTGGGACCGTTCTCGGGACATTGGGACCGTTATCGGAACAATGGGACCGTTGTCGCAATTTTTGGGACCGGTGGTCCGATGATGGGACCGACGGTCCCGTTTTGGGACCGTTCTTCCCGGAAAGAGCCCTTAGTTTCTGGTTCTGTAGAAACTCACGTTCATTGGAATGCTTGCTTCCCTCACAATTGGGTCAGTGTGTGTAGTGTAGAGGCCACCAAACATGAACATGAATCCAAGGATAACAGCCAACATGATATGGAAGCTTCGGTTTTCATGAAGATATCTGAAAGTTCTAATCCGTTGTTTTTTTTTCATATAATTTTGCTATTGTTTTTGCTAGCTTTTCTATAAAGTCAGTGTAGTAAATTTTTTTTTGTTGACTATGATTTAGTTTAGAAACCTTAAATTAATAGGCAATCAGATACCATGTCACATACAAAATGATTATTGTTATGGGTATCACACCCATTACTCATATACTATCATCAGACCACCAACATCTGACGTGACAGGACTACAAAATTCAAGTGAATCTTGTACCCAGGGCAAATAATCATTCAAGATTTGGACAGCATTATATGGCCATCTTCATACATTGTCGTTTTGTAGTCAAAACTTGTGCCTTTTTTTTAAACAGATCTATGATATTTTTTTTATGCAAAGTATGGAAAAATCAACGAAGCGCACTTATTAAAATTACGCGATTTATAGAAACGCGACTTTGAATCTCCCTTTCTAAATTTAAGCTAAACTTATTATTTCGAAACGTCGAAAAACTGTTTTATATTTAGATGTTATGCTATATGAATTATTTGAGCTGTAACAGTGAAAAACTTGTGAGCGTGGACAACGGTTCCCGTGTAGAGAACCACCATTAACTGAAATTTCGATCCTTTCCTTTTCCAGAGTCCTGAATTTTGGACACCAGCATAATAATCATGTATAATTTTGTGATTGTAATGCTAATTTTTACGATAGAGTTTTTTGAAGCAACCGAGCTTTAAAAGATATACTTAAAACGCGATTTCATGAAACTTCAGTCAAGAAATACTCACGTATGCACAGAATTTGCAGATACTCTGTTATGGATAATCCGTGTCGAGTAGTAAAGGATGTCCGCTATTAGCAAGAAAATCAGAATGTGCGCGTAGCAAGCAATGAAGCTCAAAGCCGTGATGGCGATGACATTCGGTTCCGGACCTGTGAAAAACGTTTTTTCCAGATTTTGAGTAGATCATGATTTGGCGAAAATATAGCAAATTTATCCCTTCACACTAGAGATGTTTGGAGAAACATTCGAAATTATGAAAAGTCCGAAAATTCTGACTGTTTTCATGGAGGAAATTCTAAAAAATGGTATATTTCCGAAGCTGTTTTCTCGGAATTTTTGATTAAAGTATATAAAATAGGAACTCGGAATTTTGAAAATTCCGAAAATTCCAAAAAGGCCATTCCGAATATCTCTGCTTAACACAGTATTATGCACATTTCTCTCCCTGTCCCATATGTTTTGTGATCATCACAGTTCAAACACAAATTTGTCTGCCTGTACGATAATTCAAAAATTAACATAAAAGTTCACTAAACCAGACACATTAGTCATCTGTTGTGTTCTATTTGAGCCATTCATCAAACACTCACCCAATAAAATGTAGTAAAAGAAGAGAGCAATATGAGAGAGGAACAAGAACAGCAACAAAAGTGCTTGAGTAACATCTTGCAAACATAACAGTCGGAGTCGTCGATTTCCAACTGGGTTTGGGCTGGGAAGTAGAGACCTGGAAAAAAGTAACTTTTGATTTTTTGTTCTGGTCAATTTTAGAGAGAATTCTTGTGGGTCTGCATGAACTTTTCTATCTATGTGCAAACTTTTTCGGACTTCTTCTCACTCTCACACATCACTGTTTGAATTAGAAACTGACTCACGTTATTGCGAAATCAGTATCACTTTCTAAGTTATTCGCAATAGAGATCTCACTCTCGGATTTGTGAGGTTTGTGCTTTCTGAAAGAAAAGGGTTTTGAAAGGAATTCCCAGGTTTCACTCCACTCTTGCAAAATTTACTTTTCTCACAATTAGTATGCACTCCCGCAGTTATGTTAAGTCAGATTACGACTCACTTGATCGAAAAGTTGATCCTCTTCCACATATAATAGGAGGAGGTCAACATAACGGTGGATGTGATGAGCATTGTATGCAGACGGACCAGTCGGTGGTGGGCCACGCCATCTGTCGATTTTCTTGCAATAGCCAGCGAGATGTGAATAAAGGCCAGAATCGCTATTGCGATTTTTATTTTTAGGTTCATTTCCTGAAAAAAAACGAATTTGAAAAATAAATGGAAAAGCTAGTGAGAAGAGTATAAAAGTGATGTATGGGAGAACTTTATACCCCCCACTCGCTCTCCGCAGTCACAAAACCGATAAGATGCGGCGCACAAAACCTTGAGACGGGAGGAGAAAAGTGTGTCCGAGTGGACGGAGGTGCGCGAGAGGGTTTGTTCCATTGGACACATAGTAAACAATGCGTCAGTAGGGAGACTAGGCGCATTTTGTGTGTCTCAGGGTCCGTTAAACGCGAGAGGGAAGAAAATAGGACAGCATTTCTCAAAATAGGAAGATAGTTGAAATATTTAATGAACAGTAACTAAGCTTTTGCTGATAAATGCAATTAGACTCACCGAGATTGACTGTTTGCATCGGGACCAACAGGAACAGGACATTTTTCTGAATAAAAACAATAATTTGTCGAAAAATAGCATTATTAAACACGGAAAATCAATGTTTATTAAGAAAAACCAGTTTTCCATGACCCCAAACAAGAACCAGGAGAGAAGATCTATTGTGAAATCCGAAGATAAAAAACACCTGATGCGGGCAAAGTTCAGAGTTCAGATTAGACGAAGGAAGTGATCAATGGTTATCTCGGAGTAATATAAATATAATATTTAACAGAAATAAGATACGGAAATTAAGCTAACTGGAAGAAAAATTGCAGTATTTGCATGAAAACCGGATGAGCAGCATTTGAATCGGATTTCCCAGGAAAAGGGACGATAAAAATGAAAATAAGGAAGTTTAAAAACAAACCGAGGATTTTTGAAGTTATTGATAAACAGAACACAGATAAAAACTGCAAGAAAAGATATCGAGAAAATAGGAAAACGATTTTGCATTTTATTATACCGAAAACCTGTAATGTGTAAGATACCTAAAATTTGTTAACTGACAAAACACATGATATTATGATTAACGTTTTATCAGTTGACACCTTTTTCATAGCTTCGATAGAAAGCGAGAGAAATCGGCTAAAAGTTACAAGTAAGAGAACCCCCATTACATGTTTAAAGGTACATTTTTTTTCAAAAAAGAGACAGAATTTTGGATTTTTCTTAGGTTATCAAGATTGTTTCTAACTGTAAAATATGTCATTGAACATACAAAATCTGAAAACTCCTAATATTATGAACTGTTTCTAGACTAGTAAAAAATTACACTTTTTTTGTCCAATAAGAAAACTGTAAATCGCAAAACCGAAACATGCATGAAATGAACATTAAATTCTCCTTTTTCTGCCAATCTGGACACATGTGAAGACACAATACGACACAGTTTTCGCACAGCGTCGACGACCCGCCGATGATGTTGATGACAAATTTATGATGATGTTACTTTTTTTGTTCGGATGGAATGATTTATACAAATTATACAAATATCAGTTACAAAACAAAACAAAAAGACATTGAAAATTTTTTTTCAAATGAGTGCCGGACCCCTCTGAGTCTATGGGAAAAAGTGAGAGTGAAAAGAGAAGAACGAGAAGGGGGCGCATTAATTCCCACTATTTTCACCCTGGTTTTTTCCCGCTCGTCTCAAATAAGATTGTCTCTTTTCCTAGGAGGGTAGACAGATTAGAAAGTGCAAAGGAGATGGACCAGATGGAATTTGTGTTCTGTGTAATATTTCAGTTGTTGTAGTTGCTAAGCGTCTTACATAAATTATGTATTTTGCCTCCTTCGTTGTTTTCGTTTTTCAAGTACTCCAGGAATTTGTTCTCCAGACACCTAAGAAGCCTTTTCTTCACCTTTTCTTTTCAGTTTTTTGTGTCCAAGTGAGTTCCTGGTACGTTTTTCGTCCCGTGGTCAGTTTCTGGGAAAAGTGCAAACCGTTAGACAAATTTCAAGTAGCTAAAAACATGTGTTGGGATCTTTATGATTCAAAAATGTCTTGGAAATCATGCAATTTTAGGCGTTTTCAGTGATTTTTAAAATTGTCAATTTTAGAAAGATGCTGTGTCAAAGCTATGTAACATTATTCTAAAGCAGTTTTTAAGGACGAAATATGTTTTATGAATTTTGGGTATTTTTGGCTACATTTACTGCACCCATACTAGGAAATTCGAAGCAAAAAGTTGGTTTTTCAAAGTTTTTTCAAGCTTTTACGTTCAGCTTCATACAAAGACGGAGAACAGTTCTGGAGCCAAAATTTTTAAAATAGTAAGGTATCAGTGTTACATATTTTCTGAATACTTTCTAGCTTTCCGATCATGCTGTTATAGACAACTTGTTTTTAGACATAGGTCATTCGAAGACCTGCCAAAGTCTGAAAATTGGACTAGAGTCAATGAGGTTCCTGGGAAAATATAGTAGGACAATAAAATGGTATTCGCTGCTCTTGGTTGTATGAAAATATAAAGTAATTTGTGATGATTGTCTTGATCCGTATGCACCAACCAAACACCCTGATAATTTACTGAATATTATTATGGTTCAGATAGAAATTAGAGATATGATTTAAAATACAAATTTCATAATTTCAAATCTGTTTGAAACCTGAACAAATTACTGTGAACACTTTAAAAAATGACCACAAACTTGTATTTTGAGCCCAATTATATCAGTTCCTGTGAGATATAAGAAAAATATGTTAACTGTTTAAAGGCTCGTCACAATTTCACCAAAATTTTATCAGTTTGTACACTTTTGATATCGCTTATAGCAATTGAGATAATTGAACATAAAGTTCAAGGATGAGACGACCTTCTATTAGTTTACGGTAACCGATTTTTTATTCTAGTTTCTTGTTATTTTGAATAATTTTCTCATTGAAAAAAGTCTCATGGTTATTTATTTGTATCCATCAACTTGTATATCAAAAAACACTGAATGTGCCTCTGGTCAAGTGCTAAAAAAATACAAATTTCTTTAACAGTGTGATATCTACACCCGTTAGATATCTGATATTCACATGTTTACATAAACAAGCTCCTTATCGGATTTTCAATTTTGATAAGATTTGTCATTTTCTACCTCTTCCAAAGGTAAATTTCAATAATTTGAAAAACGAGATGCTTGACCACATTTCCAATTTTTAGTGTGTTTCGGGTAGATCCTGAATTCTGTGATCTTCAGCATATGGTTCGTATTAGCATTTTATGCAGTTTAAAGATTTGAATCTTCTTTAAACTTTTCGAGAACGAAATAACAAAAACACACTGGTCCTATGACTTACTACGTACTTTATATTCAATTTCCGATTTGAGGTTTGCTTCTTTTTTCATGATCTGGGTGGTTTTCTAGGCCTAATTTTTCGCTCAAATAAGTTTTTATAATTTTCTAAGGCCTAAAAGTTCTCTTTTAACCGTTTTTTTTTGTTTCTTAGACCCTAGTTGACTTAAACAAAAAAAATCCACAAGTCAAAAAACACTCCGCTCTTATTTTTTCCCACAATTCCTTTTAAAATCGCTGGAAGGAGGAAACGGGAATGAATTGATCATCAATCGTTGCAATTTCCTTCTGCTGTGCCCCATAGAAATCTGATCTGTGCAAACAAAAAGAAGGCTCTTGCATTCTCACCACAAAAACTGTCATTGTTTTCATTTGGAATTGGAAATTGGTGGAAAAAAATAACGAATGTGAGAATCTAGTTACTATCCATTGTTTGTTGTTCTTTCGATGTTTTGCCATGGCGCTGTAAATATTCCGGATGACAGTCACCCGTTTGGTTTACTATCAGTTTTCGTATTTTATTTTTTTTCAAACAGAACTTTTTGTTGGTATTTTTAAAAATTTGGAGCACTTTAGAGGAGCTAAAGAGCAAAAAGCAGTTGTTTTGCAAACGAAGAGATGTTTCCATTCTTCAATTTATCTTTATCACCCCATTTTCCCTTCAATTCTCCTATTCTTTTCCTATCTTCTCAATGTCTTTTCATTATCTCTAACTTTTCTTATTCCCTTGTCTTTGCTTGATGAGCTTGAGCAAAAATGAGCTTAAGGTCTTCAGAAAATGGCGTATAGCAGCGTTCACATAAATTCATATGATCCACACACTCTCACACTCTTGATTTCTATAAATTTCACTCCTCTCGCAACTCTAACGAGCCAGATGTGCGCTTCACACTATTCTTCTTCCACTATTCCACACTACTTCGTGTTTTTGCAAAAACTTTTGCTCTCCAAAAAATCAGAAATTCCGAATGGAATATTCATAGGCATGTGTCAGTTTTTGGGTATGAGTAGGAAAAGAATCCGCGTGGGAGTTGGGTGGTGGTATGACAACTGAATAGGTTAGGATGTTCTGCATACTTAGGGTCAACTTGTAATTTTTTCCTCATCTTTTGATACCGTAGATTTTGAGCTCAAAACGATTTTCGAAACTTTGTTTACCATTCATCCGTGGTTTGAACACTTAATTTGTATAACTCTAAATACCGTAAACACTCTGATAGAGTGACCAACGTAACTTTCTATTTTGAGCAGATTTATCTCGTTTTCTGTGAAAGATTTCAAAAAATAGTCAACTAACAAAATATTTGAAATCTTATAATAAACATTTTATTAGTTAATTTCTTTTTGATACCTTTCACAGGAAATGAGATATATAGGCCTAAAGTGAACCCGTTTGAATGGCATTCTATTAGTGTGTTCACGGTAAATCAAATGTTTCATTTTCTTTTTTTTTATTTTTTTTGTCATATCGTCCAACCAAATGGTAAAGAGTGCTTAAGTCCCCCAGTCTGAGATTTCTGTTTTGTAGTTTGTTTGTGCTTGGTCCCATTTGATAGTTTTTAATTTTTCAATGAAGGTATTCAGTTAGACTAATTCAGAAAAATGATGTCTGAGACGTGTTACGAACGGATAACTCACTCTAACTGTAGTCCAAATATCAAACCAACTTCTCCAACATAAGAAGCACAGTTTGCTCAGACATCACTCTAGTTCAAATTTCTCATCTTTACAGCCTTAGCTTATCAAAATCTTTTCCGGCTAAATGATTTTTCATTTGTTTTTCTTTTTTTCAGTTGCAGCTT